TACCAAACAAAAAATAAACAGTGTCGGTCGGCCGGAGTTTGGTGCTAGCCCGAAACTGTCAGAGGAGAAAAGTAGTGCAATGTGTTGTCTCAAATTCTGAAGGGTCATCCTCTCCGCGACCTATCGTAACGTCTCTTATACGCATCGTAGGAAGATGACCTTCAGTAACTGGAGCCAATAATCTTTTAGTATTGAGCTCCTACGTATAATTTATCCACAAATTGTAAAGCTACAAGTTTTCAATACAAAATCATTAATATAGCAAAATTAATTGTTATTAGGACCTCATCCTCACCCATTAATCCCTCATTCATTGTAATGTCGTTAAACTTGGACACCTCAATTTAACCTATTCCGCTTTAATGAGCCGTCCATCAGGATAGTGATCTATGAGAGTAATTGTGGGCCAGGACAGCTTCCTTGGTTCCATTTGTACTCTTATTTGAGGAGAGAAAGAGGAGCACATGTAACATCTTCTTACATACATAACTGCATAACCCAAACTCAGAAATGCAGCCTGTCTCACATTTTCTTCGTATTCATTTAAGAAAGATGCAAAGAAGTTCGGTACATGAGACTGTTTCGGATGCTGGCATGTATTTAGCATGGGGGATCCTTATTGTGGTACTCAGCGTCTCAGAGCAGCCAAAGTGCACTCGAACAAGTCTTTTATCTCGAACCATTTAGCTAATGACAGCACCGGAGGAGCGGCGGTGGTGGTGACGGCCGATGGTTGTGGAGGAGGAATGCCGAGATAAAAGTGGCGAACCATGTTCCTTGGATGATGGACACAACAGCTGCGGGTGGGAACGGGAAGCATTAAATCTGTGTGTAGAGTAGTTTTCGGTGAGATCGGGCACCCCAACGCCAACATCCACCAACGAACCACGCCATCATCCTCACAGGTGGATTAGAGAAAAGGGGGCCGTAACTCAAACGACAAGTAGCTTTGTCACCACTACTCCTCGTCCTCACGTCGCCGAACGAACCACATCACGGAATAAATCCACAGCCGCTCTTTCAAAATCGGAGGACGCTGAAATAATATGCAATCAACCGTAAGATGCAGATATACTCCGACGCAGGATAACGTGCTACCCACTCGTAAGCAACGCTGCCCAAAATCTTGTACTCCGCCTGCATGGTTTCCGGTGATGCCACAAACGCGTATGATACGAGTCGATTCATGCATGTAGAAAATATGGATGATAATGATCAATGAGGCTACAAGGAAAAGATCACTTTCATGACTAAATTTATGAGGCGCAATCAATGGACATTTTGTATCCTTCGTTCTTCAAATGTGTGTAATAGATAGTCGTTGATTTGTGTTAAAATGCTGGTGATGAGACAAGTAGAAATTATTACAGGAGGAAATCATTAAATGAAATTGCATATAACGCTGAATTACGGCAACATTACAACACGAGACGTTGACATTAAATTGGGACATAAAATGTGAATTAATTTTGAAAGATCGTTTCAATTGTCTTAATTCGAATCGTCCGACACTTTTCGGGCATCAGCCCAACAATCTCTGCTCCTTTGCTGATACGATACACACCAAAATATGTATCATGCTGCTTTTACCAATAAAGTCAACACCATCAAACATCACTAACCGAGAGAGTGGTTAGTTAGTCAATGATAAAAAGATAAAATGCTTCTCGTAGTTCGGAAGGAGGATGAGGAAATCGCATTTGTTGATACATGGACCTCCTTCGGGAAGCACAACTACAGAGGGGCAAACAGATCCCGGTTGTTTTCCTTTACACAAAGTTTACTCGTCCAGTCTGACATATTTAATAAATTTTTACTTGGAGGAATGAAAATATCATGTATTCTCCCTCCCTTGTGTCAAACGGTTGTTCACCAGAAGTCTGACGATGTTTATTGACATTTATTGCATGCAAAGTAGAAAATGCAACAATTAGCACACCTGAATCATTGTATAATTATAATAAATATTTTTTCGCTTGTATATCTCTTCTGCTGCCTAATACTGCTTACTCTGAGTGACTAAATATGTACTTGTGTATTTCATAAATTCTTATGTGTAAACCAAACAAAGAACAAAACTCTGCTGGATAAATTGCTCTTGAAGTAAACCAAATTACAAATCGTGAACATGGGCAAAAATTCTACCGACTGGAAATGAGGGAAGCGTAACCTCTGTTCCGTAGAAGAAATGGAGAATTAGGAATGATGAAGTGATGCCATTCTTGAGACCGTAAATTATCCGATACTTAGAGCTAAATTAGGGGTGTGATTTCTGCAATGGTCGATTGCCAAGAATTCCTTACTTTTTTCAAGGGAACTTCACACTCGTTTTTTTACACCATCCGCATCAACTACACACGTACTCACATTCACCGGAGGAGTAGATATTTAGAATGTACATATACTTTCTTCGATTGCTTGCTAATTGTGCTCCGTGGTAGATGGGAATCATCGTATTGTAAGAATATCTATGTGAGATAGCACCATTATTTTTAAACACGTAGTTACACACACGAGTTGATTTGCTAATGTCATCACTTTCGTTGTGTGACTAATCTATCTCAGAGTTTTAAATGCCATGAACCCTATTAACTTAACAACCAGTACTGGATACACACATTTACATATACATAATTTAATCTGGATCTAACTTAAACTAGATGAAATACATTTGAAACTGATAAAGTATCCTGATTTTAACCCTTCTGGGTTGACCATCGATCGATGGGATGTGCTAACATTAACTATTATTTTAAGTAGAATTGCACTGTTTTTCTACTAAAGACCGCTCACTCATTACTTGCTGCATATCTAAACTGTAGCAATTTAGTTTACACCGAACGCACGACAATGACAAGTGAGGTACAAATTAGTAAATGCCACGGGAAATGTGGCGGATGAAACTTGGTCGTTTGTCACTCAGCAAGTTGGAAGCTGTGACTTAATGCGATTCTCACTCTCGGAAACTAATCTGCCAGAAGATTAATAAATCAGTTTTATTCGCTCAGCGTTGACAGAGAAAAATGCTCGTCTTCTCACCAACCACAAACGAATTTGTTTCACTTTCTATAACTTGGACCCATATCTGCACACGAGTTCCCATGTCGAAGCAAAAATATACGCAAATTATTGTACAAGATAAATCGTAGAGTAATATTATTTTGTAAAATATTCTGAGTTGTGTGTACACAGTGCTAAAAACTATTATGTAACTTCTAAAAAGTTAGTAAATACGTACTTATGATTTTGATGAAGAAGGTTCACAACCAAAATTTCATGGATTAGCGGATTGCTTTGTATTACATTTTTATCATCATTTTTGCATGCAGTTACAAGTTCTACATAATATTTTATTTATACACACCTGCAACCGAGTTTTCAATTAAGTCAACAAGAAAATGCATAACAATTCATTGTCATAAAATACAAGTTTCTCAAAAGTATTTTTTATGATTTTTAAAATTTCGTGCACACATTGAATTAAAATTACACAAGGTTTCAACTCGGTTCGAAACCTAATTATAAGACTTTTTGCATGTTACTTCAAGTCGTTCAGAGTTGGTTTTTCTCTCCAGGAAAATAAATGAAAAGTCAACAAGACATTTTTAGTCTCATTTTACAAATAACAAAGTCATTGTCGTGGGTGATGTAGTGGGTGTTTTTTACATTCCCATCTTGCAGAACAATTACCGATTATTACCCATTAGGGACCAGTCATAAATTTGGCCATGTCGCTTATCCTTCTACTTAATGCAGCGTGTCATGCTCTCCACACACACAGCACAGGAGGTCCATTCGTTCCCCGTAAATTAGGCGAAAGTGCTCCTCCACGTTTTCGAACCTTCATCGTGACAGGACGCCGAAGTAGTAATTGTCAAAGACATTATTCTTCTAATTGAGATCTGACAAGAAATGCATACCGACTCGATGGACTCGTTCGGAACGACTTCTTGCAAAATGGAACTTTTGAAATCATCCAAGAATCGAAAATCTAGCTACTACGCTTCCTGTTTACTATATGCATACATTAATTCATTAGCGTTAGTGACGATGGCTCATGAAATTATTCACGCCATTATTAGTTTATTAGTCATATAGAGTAATTATCACGCATGGAATTGTACTGATGACGATGAGTCACTGACTCTCTTTCATCGCGTCAAGTGTTGTACTTTTCATGCCATGTTTTTTACGCAGGTATGCCAGTCATTATTATCAAATTACACGAATTATGATATTTGATGCCTAATAGTCAAGCAAAAAAAGGGTGAGAAGAGTGTGATGCTAACGACCGAGTGTAATAATTCTAAGGCATCGATTTACTTGCGTATGTATGAGAAAGTCGTGTGAGAAAGTCGCATAATTTTGTGTTTTGCAGGCACTTGTTGCACACTTTCTCCGAGTTTGGCGAGAAGTGGCCAAAACGAGGCGTTGGACAAATGCAGAGGCCCAAGAAGGAAGGAGAAAATAATAAAAGGATCGCGGGAACCACCACTAAAACTTGGTAGCCAAGAAGAAAAGTGGCAAATCATCACTTCCTGTCAACTGCTGAGTTGTCGATCCTCTGGATGAGAACAGGTGAGTTAATTTGGTTTTTGATACTTAATTTGATCATTTTCAGTCGAATGTATTCGAACCATGTCGTATTCAGTATTCTACCAGCCAGGTTAAGATGACCTCGTTTTTTTCTGTGGTTTCTTATTTCATTCTTCATTATATTAAATACAAATAGCTGAGAGGAATATATTAATATGTAAAAATTGAAGGTTTCATATTGTGATATATTTGTGTAATTTCGTAATTAATTTATTGACCTCGATGTCCTCGATCTGGAAAGAAAAGGTCATCTTTTCCAGCACACACAGTGATGACTGGTCTGTATCATTTACGTATTTAGATAGGGAAAGATAAGCACGTTTAATATTTTTATGACGTGAGTGTGAGCATGTAGTAGGTTTATAAAGTCTGACGGAGTTGAGCTTCTGCTTGATAACATTCATTTAACACCGGCTTCATTTTTTGCATATTTGTTATTATTAATACCTTTGCCTTGGAAACCTCACTCGCCAATAATTTATTATTATTATTGCCCCCCTGTCGGCTGATCGGACTGGAGATTGTGGTTTGTGGGATCCTTTCGTCCGCAGTGGTGTACATATCATATTTATTATTATCGAAATCCGGTGATCAGATCGTCGTCATCAGGTATAAATTTTGGAATGCCTTCTTATCTTAACCATAATAATAGTTGGCAGGTCACATACTTTGAGGTCTCCAGTTCCTTGAATTTTAAAGCGTCAACTTGGCCCAATTCTTATTCTGCTGAATGTTGAGATTAAATTACAGAGACAGGTGTTATTGCCAAATTGCCAAGACTAATAAGGTTTCACACTAGTTTGTTGTTGGCTCTGAATGAATAAAAAATCTGAAATTCGATTCTTTGCTGATTTAAATATCAATATGTTTTATTAGTCGAACTAAAAGTCTGTCTGGTAGTTAAAGGAAGGTTTGACACCGTTGTTTTTCAAAAAAAGTGATGTAAATTTGCTTCTAATAATACGGATGGAGGAGTTAATAGAGTAGAACATGTAAATTAAATCGATTATCGACCTTGAGATCTGAATACAATCGTTCGGTGTTGATATAGTATAAAAACGATGATGATCTGCAATTTGGGGGAATAGACCTGCAATATATATAACTTAACTAAAGTTAAATTTTCATTAATTACTGATTCATGGGCATGAATTGGCAAGTGTGGCACACTCCAAATCTCCAATACTATGTATGCTATAAAATGCAAATAATGTGTAGGTATCACTACTTGAAATTGTAATTTGTTATGGTTCATTGTCTGCTGTGGCAGAAGTGGTTGGGAAGCTTTCGCACAGATTTGCAGAGAAAAAGCCATCATCACACTAAACGGCATATGAAATTCATGAAAGTTTCTTATTAGACTCATCGTCAGCCGTTGAATCCCGTTATTTGGTCCACTTTTTAATCTATCTCTTCAATTTTGTCTTGAGATTGTTTGTATTGCGCAGAAGGAATTCACGTTTGACACCTCACGTCTCGGCAACATACTGTAAGCTTTACAATATAAATTGGTATTTCCTCCAGGGCTTTAGTTATGCACATAAATTTAGGCAAATTTGTATTCTTTTGAAACATAACCGGCTTATTGAATTTTATAGATAGCTACTGTGTGTAAATTTTACTTTTTATATATATATTTTAGTTCATCAATTTTAACAATTAATTTGATTGAAATTAACTGAGTTGTTGAATAATAATCATATATCACAAAAAAGCTCAATTTCGACTGATCTCAAATTATTAAAAAGCCATGTTGTGTTATTTTTTTGTTCTAGTTACAAAGATGGGTGAACCGAAAAAGGACAGCAAGTCCAGCATGAAGCGACCCATGGTCGTGACTGTGATATCTTTGTTAATTGATCTCATCGGATTTACTATCATCCTTCCACTTTTCCCGTCCATTTTGCAATATTACAAGGAACACGACGAGAGTGGGACATACGCACAATTTGCCCAACTCTCTCAAAAACTTGGAACTTTGATAGGTGCTCCAGCAAATCAGTCTGAAACTGTCTTGATGGGTGGAATTTTGGGTTCCCTGTTTTCATTATTACAATTCGTGTCAGCCCCGATATTGGGTGCTTTTTCCGACATCTACGGAAGAAAGAAGGCTCTCCTCATTTGTCTGGTACTTAATAAAAACTACAATTACAATCTAACTTAAACATTCAATTAAATGCAGCAATCATGCAATAACACACTCTTTGTTTGAATAGGTTGGAATTATGGCTTCTCATCTCTTGTGGCTGGTGGCAGCATCATTTCCAATATTCATCTTGTCGCGAATTGTTGGAGGGTTGAGTCGAGCCAATGTTTCAATCTCTACTACTATTGTGTCGGATGATTGCCCTGCAGAGATGAGACCTAAGGGTATGGCATTGATTGGAATTGCTTTCTCCGTCGGATTTGTTGTTGGTAAGTTGTTGTTTATTCTATTAATTTATAGTAGAATTGTTATCTAAATTTTGCACACTGGTTCTTGTACTATTCAGGTCCATCCATTGGTGCTTATTTTGCTCGATCGGGAAACTACTCCATTCCAGCTATTGCATGCTTTTGTCTGACAGCCTTATCTTTTATAATTGTTTCGTTGTACTTGGATGAAACCTTGCACCCGGTACCAGAACTGTTTTTATTTACCGTCTTTATTTGTATTCACTTAAATCGCACCTAAAACTATTAAACTTAATTTCAATTTACAGAAATATGCTAAAGAATCCAAAGGATTTGACCTGTCCAAAGTTTCATCATACATCTGGCCTCCTTACCTCTTTAGTTTCAAATCCGTTTCTGTTGGAGAACAACTTCGACCTATCGGTTATGCATATTTTCTCTACATCTTTATCTACAGTGGTTTGGAATTTACATTGACGTTTCTCACTCAATCCAAATTCCAGTATGACTTGAAAAGAATATTTAAAAAACTTTGTAAGACTTTATAAGATTTTGTAATGTATAAAAGTTTATTCGTAGGTTTACTTCAATGGAGCAAGGGAAAATGTTCACCATCCTTGGAATAACTATGGCCATTCTACAAGGCAGTGTCACCCGAAGATTAAAGACAGATATGGAAGCATCTGCTGCGATGATGGGAGTTATTTTCATGATGCCAGCGTTTTTCGTTCTTGGATTTTGCAATGACCTCACTACACTAGCGTTTGGATTATTCTGCTATTCAATTGGTATATTTTATGTTAACACTATTAATCTGCGTCGATACATTGATTGGTGGTGCAGTTGTTTGTACGTGACAAATTTTTTTGTTAACAGGATCTGCAATTTGCGGTCCAACTCTTACTTCAATTGCTACATCACGAGTTCCCAAAATGAACGAGCGCGGAACGGCTCTTGGTATTTTTCGATCCTTGGGAGCCCTGGCAAGAGGTGTCGGTCCCATTGTGGCGTCATCTCTATTTTGGTGCTTTGGACCTACCGTGGCATATTCAATCGGTGCAGTCGCCATGCTAGTTCCGCTGTTTGTGTTGCACAAAGCCGTAAATGGACGATCTGATGCAGCCACTAGTAGCAAAACAAAAATTCAATAATGCAATCTCTACGTCAAACTAAACAAACGTTGTTAAATATGTCATGTTGATTGTTCAAGGCGTCGTACTCGTAGGTATATCCTCAGCCACACAATTTGATGTGTTACTTTTTGTTTGTTCTTAAATATCTGTTTAGTTTAGTACTTATACACATACGTCATACTTACGGCACATTATCTTACTTTTTCGTATTCATTAATTCATTGGTGCTGAAATTCAAATTCCTTCCAATATTGTTAATACTCGCAATGCTAGCCTTAATTATATTGTCACATTCCATAATTCTTGAAAGTCAGTATTTTAGCATAGGATTATGCATTTATAGTTCAATAACAACGATACGTGATTAATACCAAAATGAAATATATTAAATGTCCGAATTACTTAAGACAACAAATTTTTGTATTCAATTTTACAACAAAAAATATATAAAGGGTTACAAATGTTTTAAACTGTTATAATAATTGAAATTGTCATTAATTCATTGTAAATTCATTTAAATGTTGGTTTAAAATAAGGAGCTGCATTAGTTGCTTACTGGTGCATTGAATTTACACAAAGTTCAAGTGTCTGCAGATGATTCTGAATCGTCATTATCGTCGTCGTCGTCGCCGTCGTCGTTATCGTCTTCATAAAGATCTTCTACGGCCCCATATGGTTCCTGTGTGGTTGTCGTTATTGGAGTAGTGGTCATCTCCACTTCATCACTAACCTCCTTTTTTCTAACTAAGGGTGCTTCGCAAATGTAGTGTAATTGACGAATACAATTTTCGTTTGACCATCGATATCTGAAATAATTCCCATGAAAATTAGACCTAAAGTATGGAGTGGATTGTGATGAGCTTCGTTAATTGAATACCTGCTCTGTGGGTTCATGTAGAGACACATCCACTGTTCCGTTTGAAGATCGAGAACGCTTGTGGTCGCAAATCCTCGCAAGTATTCAATGTCATTCCCTTGAGCTGCCCAAATCCATTTTCGATCAGATCCCCCCACCCAAAATCCACCAATCCAACGGCCTAGTTGTGCTGAAAATTAAAGTAATTATGCAATTTATCTAAATTGATAATTTGTGTCGAGTAGAAAAGTTAGCCTTACCAAATTCTGGTTGTTCCAAGTAATTTCTTAACGTGGAGTCTTCATGCTGCGTTCCTACAAGATATATGTAGGTCATTCATACATATAAGTAATACGAGAAGCCGACATTTGCAATAAAATATTTTTTTATTACCTAAAACTGCAAGCTGGGCATCTCGATCTGATATGATAATTTTGCATGAAATATGTATGATTATATAATAGAATTTTTTTAAATACTGCCACGAATTACATACTTACCTCGACATCTGAAATGTGCTTCTTGCCAGGATACTATTTCTGTGCTGAAATAGTAACAGCTATTTCCGAGCCTAATGAAATCTTTAGCGACACAATTGTACTGCTCTGTGATGTCAAAAGTTTTAACAATTATTGTAAAACAGATAAGTAAGTAAATACATAACAAAATCATGTTTTTACTAAATGAAAAATGCATACCCCCAACCACGCCGGAATTCCAAATCGTAACGATTATAACAAGAATCTTGTAAAAACTTTCGGACGACATCGTCGCTAATTTGATTTATTAGTTTTGCTATATTCCAGGCAGAAAATTATGTATGTATCTATTTTGCTTTATCGACGCTGATCAGTGAGTCTCGGACTGGGCTATTCTGGGATGCATCTCGTCTTTCCAATTTTATACAGAGAGACTTTCTCAAATTTTCTATCACTTTAATATCCATCCCTCCCAATGCTTGGACCATTTGGCTTAACTAAAATACTTGATGGAATGACGATTTACGAGTACGTGACATTTACAAAGTGGAGGGAACATTTTTCCTGATCTTCGTCTTTCTTCTCATCATCAGTGATCTTGTCTGGTGGCTTACATGTGTTTTGCTTTATCAATTTCCATCCATGGTCAAAAAGCAAATGTCAACAACTTATTCATATAAACGATGAGTTAGATACATGTACAGATAAGTATTTTAATACTAATATTTTCTATTTACTTTGAGTCATTCTATATATATTCTTACGATGCAAAGACTTTTTTGTCCCATGCATTTTTATTCTCAATCGACTTGTTCATAAGTCACAGACCTCTCTCTCTCTCTCTCTCTGACGATGAAGATAAACCAACATTCATTAATCAATCATAACTGGCTGCATACTGCTGGAACATGGGAATAAGGCATTGACGTCTCGAGTTTATGTGACTCAATCCAATCTAATATCCCAAGAAAGAAAGAATGGAAAGATGAACAAATTTGTAGGAAGAAAAAAGATTGCGTAATGTAATGTAATGTGAGGGCATTGTAATTCAAGTGGTTATTCCGGGTCATACAGGATGAAATATTACTCGCTTCGTCCTCTTAAACTTGTATTAAAGCTGAGGGAAGTGAAGACGTTATCTAACCGGATCCTCTGATTTTAGTCATTAATACATATATGTACATATAGCAGCGTATTGAGCATTATGTTATATTTCAATTATAATAAGAGTTTTATTTGTTTATTCAATGCAAAATTCAAATACAATTCCTCTTGTAATTCTCTTATTAAATAATTGTTCAAAATGACTACCATTTGATATTGCAGGGCATTTCATGCTCGATAAAATATTTACAAGTTTTCTTTTTCATTCAAGAGAATTACAAGAACCTATACAGTTTTAATTTTGACTTTTAATTTGGCTTGAATCTCAAAAATACAGACTCCATTCTTCTTAATAAGGCAAAGGAAATTCAAGACGGGCAAATTTTGCTTATTGAGTTTTGTAGGGTGCAGGCGGACGTGAGTACGGGTTACTAAGACCTGCAGGTCCGGGTGGTGGAGGGGGGAACGCACCCGGGTATTGTTGCGGCTGTGGAGGAAGATAAGGCGATTGCTGTGGCGGCGGTGGTGGTTGTTGTTGTTGTGGTGGAGCACCAGCCCCTCCTTGTTGTTGTGGGTATCCTTGCTGTTGTTGTGGTGGAGCACCAGCCCCACCTTGTTGTTGTGGGTATCCTTGTAGTTGCTGTTGTTGAGGTGGGTACTGACCTTGTTGTTGCGCAGGTTGCCCGACTTGTGGGCCTCCAACCATGGAAGTGGGGACAGTTGGTCGAGCTTGAGCAGAAAATGGAATTGGAGCTTCACCGTAGGGGCCCTGGCCTGACATTGTTGGATATTGTGGGGGGATATTGTAATTGTAGTTGGATCCGCTGGGTGTGGAAACGGTTGGATATCCTCCAATTGGAGGCGGTATATTTCCTTGAGGAGTGGTTACACTCCGGACCTGTTGTTGCTGATTTACAGGCTGCTGAATTCCAGGATGCTGATGCACCACCTGTGCATATACAGGTTGAGGTTGTGTTGGCTGTGTTGAAAAATTCATGCGAGGTTGTTGCTGCATATTTTGATTTTGAGCCATACTCTGTTGCTGCTGTTGTTGTGGTGGCTGAGGATGACCTTGTTGTGATGGATGACCTGCTTGTTGTTGTTGTTGCTGCTGCTGTTGCTGTGTGGGAAGCACGGGTGGGTGATGGGCAAGCAATTCAGTAACTAAATTGGACGGTTGACCTTGTGGTTGTTGGCGCAAAGAAGGCTGATTTGAAGATCGTGAAAAAGAGTAATTGAATGGTGAGCGTCCCCTGTCGTGCTCCTCCTGATGAAGATCTTGAGGAGCGCCATCCTGCCCTTGTTGCTGAAAGAAATGTAATTTTTCAAATTAAATCCAGAAATGACTTTTCCTAATAAATCCACAGTAAGTATACCTAGTGATAACTCTACCATTGTATCTGAGACGAATTAAATATTTAAATACTAAAATTGTCACAATGTCCAGTTTATTAATTCGTCTGTACTTTCCAAAACAAAATCAAAAGCCATAAATTCGGCAATTGTGACGGATATAAAGAATGCAAAAATATACACCCAGAACATTATAAGCTATATATTTTTAAACGAGGTTATAACGATTAGATCGGATTAAATCGCTTCTATCAAAAAACTTTTCCAACAAGCAGCGAGCTAACAAAAACTGCAGTTCTTCCAACCAAATTACTTAATTGGACCGGAGGACTACACAGACTGCTGATAATACCGATGATGATGGAACTTGAACGTGAGTAATGAATGAAAAATTCACCCCACGTGAATAGTCAGGTATTATCCGTGTTATATGTAAATGAGGTGATTGAATGCAATTACCGAGCTAAGTCGAGTCGAACGAGACACCTCGTTCTAATCTTATCTAACTCAAACAAACACTATGCTGCTACACTGCCCTACAAAAAGACAGGAATCAATTTCAGCGAATTTTAGACATAGCCCAAAGTTCACATACATACAATTTTATAATTATACTCCAGAAAAAATAAGGCAATGATGTAACTACAATAAGTATGATTCCAGGATGAAAGTTAAGGTTCCGTATAACATAGTTAAACCACCACTGCTGGGTCCATCCCAAATTAATCTATATGATTGGATTTAAAGCTTAGCACTACTTGAAGGCGGATAATGAACACTAAATAGGATCCATAATACTATTGATTGAATGTATATTCAAACTATATGCCCCTTGTAAATTTTGATCAAGTCTGTTGTACAATGAGGTGACGTGTTTGGTTCAACGTCAGCACTGGTCACAGTCACCTTATTTGCGAATCCAATCCAAAGTAAAACAAATAACAATTGTGGGGGTGGAGTACCTTTTGAATGGGATCAAATTCTAATTCAGTTCCCAATTTATCCATTTTGGGGATGATCCCTTTTTTCTCCTTTTTAGCATCGACAATCGCGTTCTTGTCCGCAGCTGCAGGATCCACTAAAATCTGTCATTCAAAATCATAATCTCATGTTTAATGTTAATTTAATATAAACTATGAATTTTTAGTCAATTCAGCAAATTTACCTTTTTGTCGTCCTCAGCACCCAACAAATCCAGCAAGGAATTAACTTTGTCCCGAAGCTCGCGAAGTTCAGACCGGACAATACCAATTGGAAGGTTTTTGAAGAGTTTGCCATTCAAATCTTCATCTTTCTTGAAATAAACCCGAAGTTTCAAAATACGACTACATTGGATGGCAAAGGCCAAGTCGGACGAGTCGTTTATTGTGATCATGTCTCCATCTAAGAAACATCATAGTTTGTATGGGATTAAAAATACATCTCAACATGTCAATTAAGAATCAGCGACATGCTAATTCAATTGTCACCAGCTAACCATCATCTTTGTATTTAACTGTGATATCATCATCGGGTTTCAGCTGACCACGAAACATCCTTTGCAGCATCAGCAACAATTCATCATAAGTAATATCCTCATTGTGAATTGGAACACGCCGGATGTCATCTCGTAATTGAACCTGTCATAATTTGAAAACCATAATGTGTAATCCAATTTGCTAATCTTCAGTACCCACGTTTTAGAAAAGTATGTTTAACATTAAACTTTCACCACCTCACCTTCACAATCACAAGAGTTCCTCCACTTGTCCCATTTGAATTCATGGCATTGCTTGCCGACGTTCCCGAGTCTTTGGTGAAGGCATCGACCGATTTCTTCCTCCCTTCGGTCGCAGTGTTGTCATTGTTGTTGGTATTCTCAGTCGAGTTCATTTTCCCTTTTTAATTTCCTTCAATACTCACAATTCCGCAATATTATGACCTGCAAAACTCCTTCGACAAATACAATCAAATAAAATTAACAATAAAAATTCAATTCAATTCTGGATTCAAAAATTTTGACTCACCCAAAAAACTAAAATTTATGTTGACGCAGATGTGTAAAGGTTAACTTGGTGATACTCGCATTAAAATAACGTTTCCCCTCCGAAGAGTTAATTAAGCTGCGTCGTTATTTGTGACCAGCCGAGAGTGGAAAGAACGACGAACTGGCAAGAAAATCTGATTGTGGACGTGTCTCTGTCAGCCAGCTCAACGCTTTTGCATGAATCGCTGTTTATTACCCAGCGAAAAGTAGGTGCCAGTAAAAAAAAAGTCTCAGTTTACCACTCCCGGCTTCCCAGTCGACTATTTCATGTGACAAAAACACTTCGTTTTTCATGCTTATCATTACTTTGCTTATCATTAATTTCGGACGAGCTTTAGGCATAGCTATCATATTTTATCGTACAATAGTTAAAAGTGGACACAGGACAACATGAAAATCGGAGAAATTCGGAATATGGTTTAAGCGTCAATATTTAAAGTTGTCTGGAATCAGAAATAGCTGCACAGTATAATCTTTTCGAGGAATAAAATAGCGACCCTTAAAATCTCTGAAATATAAAAAATACGACAGGCCGAAATAAAAGTAGACTGAGTTTAATCTTGATAGTAGTAAAAGATCCGTCGATTCTTCAGCTTGACTAATAGTACATATATTATTGGGATACTTTATGTTTTTTCAAGTATGTAAATAATCGCTTTGTTGATAACTAGGACTGCTGAAGCTCTTCTTCCTGGTTTGATACCACACAACACTCATGTTGAAGATTAATATAATAATTTCTATAATAATTGAAATTGAATAACTTTAATGATCTCTGCTTCTCTGTAGATTTGGAAAACTTGTGGCAAACACTTGAAAATATAACGACCACGAGAAAAGATTTTAATTATGATAATATTAGTATTTGCAAGAAAGCAATAGGGTAACGCTGCCTGTTTCATGCTTGCTGCTTTGATAGCTGATTTGTTCAACGGCGATAGCGTCCCAAAAATGCCTATTGAAAAGGAGTGACATATGAAATCACACGCTAACAAAATTAATAATATGAAATATGCCAACGTAAAAACATACCGAACAATTTGGGCAAGTGTGATGAATGTCCATGCATTCGTCAAAGCAGCAGGGGAGCCTTAAAACAAAGTATAAATGGTAGACGGGTTTTATAATTTTGAGCACATATATTCAAATCTAAACTTACAAACAACACCCCCAAAAGCAGCCAAGAAGAGCTATAATTGCTCCACTAATGTACCTAATCATGGATACAAAATACATAAATATTTAAGAGACTATAAACTATAATTAAATTATATAAACCACAATAATGTTCAGATTGGACAGAATACTTACGCAATCATTCCAGGCGTGGTTTGCGTTGAAGTCAAGATCTCACAGTGGCAATGGGGACAGACCTAAGCGACCGAATTAAATTAAACTTGTATTATTGTATTTTAATTCTTTAACCTATACTAATTTTGTTTCAATACCATGTGAGTACTTCGTGGTCCAATTGGAATAATCGTGGTAACAATAGTAGGTCCAGGAACGACTGCACATTTCAAAAAACAATTAGTCAATCTCAAAAATCAAAAATTAGTTAAATTGACCAACGACAAATCAGTAAACAACTGCACATATATCCAATTCATGCAAATTCTTATAATTTGAAATTCTACCACTCCACTCGGACACTTATACATTTAACATTTCAATATTTCAAAAGTACGGACCAGCCAAAGTAAACTAAAATCAAGAGGAACAACAACGAGGACAACAGAATATCTGGACAGTTATTGTTTACGACTTGTCGAGGAAGGGGTGGTCGTCGTCGTACTCGGTTGGGCTGCGGTGAGTGGGGAGGAGGGCAACACCCCATGAACGGCCTCGTTGTACGAGGGTGGAGCTGCCTGTGGGGCCTTCATCTTATCACTTTCTCTCCTTCAAAAATCTCCTACGGAATTACAAAGACAAAAATACAAACAAATCCCAAATCGTATATACTTTCCAATTTTTTCTAAGCAATAACGTTTAAACTTACAAAAATTGACGAAATCTCAGAGTTTCTGAATTTTAAAATTGAAAATTATTTTATTTAGTTTCACAACAGCCGACGAAAGTTCGTGCAAGGATGGATAGAAGAGATCACAACTATTATTATGTTGTTGCGATGAGAGTGTGAGCACACTCTCCTCCTCCTTTTGCTACTTCACGTGCAATTCACATACACGAAAGGCCAACGTGTTATAGCATGAAATGAGGGAATACAATACAACACTTTAGTTATTATTGTCAGTACTTGTGACGACGGCGAATTTACGTCATCGTCACCCTGAGAAGGATGAGTCATGCAGTGCTTATCAAAGGAGGAGTCGTCGTTATCTTTACTTAACATGACCATGCACGGAGGAGAAGTAACAAGGTTTAGGCATGACATGTTGCACGATGGGAAAAATGAGATAATAAAATAACTAATCTTATTATTATTTATCATTACATACCAATGTTTGAAGTACATAAGTAATGAAATTATTTACGATATTAATACATAGAAAGCTACATAATCATACTTTACGATATGACTAGAGAGAAACATAATATTCCTTAATTAGATTCGCTGAGTAGGCGAAAGAACAAGGACGATAATTTTCAATTCATGATTTTCTAAATAACTTTTCGTGGGAGATTGAGGACACGGAGGAACTTTAATAATTTGTCACGGTTCCCTTCATTCACAGAGAAATGTGGAAATGGTCTGACGTAGAAAAGACGCATTTACACACTAAAAGTTATTAAGATTTCATAAGCGAACTGTCAAAAGTTTAAATAAAAGTTAACAAAACGGTATCAAAGCTTGTCAAAACATTCTCTGGAGATGTTTCCTCCTTTCACAACCACCATCCTCGCAGGCGAACATATAACCTCCTTCCTCGTACTCAAAAATCCATTCCTGGAATTGTGCGCATCAAATTTCACCTGAACTGGATTCCTACTTGGCTTTTTTCTCCGCAGGTGTATGTACGTACAAGCCCGAAATTTGTTATGTCTAACGAAAAAGTTTGTAAAATGATATTCCTATATAAATACTCCTCTCCTTATCCTTTACTTCTCTCGTTGTTCATGATTCTGTACAAATCGCACAAATCTTACCCTACTTCCCACGTTCATTATTTTCCCCAAAGTTAAAGATTCCAGACCATTTTTTATTGTCTCACGTCATCAACCTCTATCTGTATCTGTACGCCTCTAGATAATTCTCGAAAGCCATGTTCCTGCTGGAGAAAGCAGAGAGAAAGTGGAGCAAAATGTGTCATTCCACCCCATTCGGATCATGCTCTCATCTCTATTGAACTTTCCTTCCAACAAATAACCTCAAAGCATGCACTCACAAATAACAACGGTGAAACGGAAGATTTGGATTGGCTGCCTGCACAGCAGTTTTCAGAAGAGAAGGAAATGAGCCAAAGGCGAACTTTTGCAAGACCATTTTACACACAAACCACGTCTAGGCAACCAGCCCAACATACATATTACAGCTGCATTGCACTCTTTTTTTTACTACTCGCCAAGTTCTATGTACTCACTTTTTACCAGATTCTCGTCCACCACCCCAGTTTAAATCCACAGTTTCAAAAATAAAATAAAATTCTGTGTAATAGTAATTTCGCCTGGAAAGTTTTGAAAAAGAGGGCAGGGAGGATGGTGCGAGGGTGGTGAAACGACGAGGTGGCGAAATTGTTAGGTGCCAAAAAAACCAAGGCTCTCTAACCACACAGTTAACTAAAGTAGGAACAATTCGCAACTTGGAATAGTGGCAAAATTCTTTCGCCCCAGTTTTCTGGCCTCAATAAATTCAAGAGTAAAGTTTTTGTTACCAATTGCAGAAAATATAAGTATACCTCAACTTTTTTTGAGACTATAATAAATCATTAATATATTTCTAACTGGTGCGTTTCGCACTTTCTTAAATAAAATTCTTATACTTTTTTTCCCAGTTGAAAATTAACTTGTAACAAATGAGAGTAAATTTCATTGTTGTCAGGTTTATGGTCAATGTCTCCGCTGATATCAATTTGATATCAATGGGATTTTGTAGAGGTGTCATTTGAACAAGTAGAGGAGCCTAAAAATCTAAATTTTTTGATTAAAAATTAAATTTTCCCATTCATTCTTCTCCTAAATCTTGAAATAAAAACATAATCCTTAAATTTCGGACGGTAGGAAAAAACTAAACTTTCCCTTAACTTAAAAATCATTGCATTAATATAATCGTGAAAGGAAATAGGCAGTCAAAATCCGATTCTCATTAAACAAAGCTATACAATCTTCAGTATTATAACAAGTCATTCGCACAGTGATTGTAGTAGAAAAATAACGATTGATTGACGTACATTTTATACATACTTATCGCGTAAGAAGAACACAATTTTAACAATTCGGAATAAAAGCAACTAAATCGGACCTCTGGAACTGCATGACATTCTACTTTTGCTCAGGGTAAGCAAACTTATTGAATATTATTATACATACATTTTATTTTATTTTCGTCTCTCTCTCTCGGTTAACGGGCAATGCGGAAGCAAAACATGAGAAATGCAAGCACAGAAAAGTTTATTCATGTGGTGGTGCATGGCCTTCTTTTAACTCGAACAGTGTGGCGTGGCTCATGTAAATGTGGCATGATTTGTAGTCCAAGGAAGTAATGTGACACATGACGACTAACTTTCAGTAGTAGGACAATGGCTCGTAATTCTGAAAATTAAAAATTATATTCAGTTAATGAGTTCATTGATTTTAGTTGAATGTACATACACATGTCTTCTTGGGTCAAAGAGGTTCATGTTTCATTTTATAAATATGACGTATTTATTGGAGTGCATATGTGGTTATCAGATTTCATGAAGTAATAAAATTATACTTGGAGTTGATCAAATGCAATCTAGTCTGTCTTGTCTGATTAAAGTTGGGTTTTTAGGGTGCATCAACCTTTCCTAGAGAGAGAGATACATAGGTAGGCTGCTACTCTGACATGTGTAGGTACATATATCTATAGCTATCTGTTAATTAACTTGTTTTCGAAAGTAACATGGCATGTCGAATGTCGGTCTTGCGACCTGTGAAAGAACGGGCAAATCTGTATTCATCCCTTTTATCATCAAGATTTAGTTGGGTCGTTAGTGCAGAGAAGGTGTATACTTTGTACTTGTAGATAGATCGATAATATCGGGTTATATAGAGACTTCATTACTTTTGCACACCACTTTTAGGAAGGCGTCAGTCAGCGTCATTGAGGAAATTGCTGTTTTATCGATAACTACACGTACATATATACTCCTTGCCTTGCCTTGTGCACACAACGCAGTCGGGCTTAACCCATCGGCACTACAAAATTCATGGTTGGTGGTGAAAGCTTGTCCTTCTCTCTCTCTGTCGAAAAACTTTTGCATGCTGCGACCATATTTTATTTATTTATTTGAACTCGCAATAATGTTCCTGTTCACCTTGTAAATAGAGAGCGACTCGCGAGAGAGAAAAACACTCGAGAATGAATATACATATCTATCTTTCGTGCCGAATGGCATTGGCAAATCTCGCAACGCAATGCAATGCATTTGCATGTACACATATGTAATGTGCACAATGGGGTGACTTTGGAATGAATTGATTAATTTGGCATTGATGTCCAAGTAAGTAGGATGGATAGATAAATAGTAGACTAATTCAATATTTGCTTTAATGTCATAATGTCACCGTTGCTTTTTGTGGGTTCAACTTTTGCTTGAGTCAAAGTCAACTAGCTTAGCGCACAACAAGAGAATTATAAGACGACTTCTTAGCAAAACAAATCTGCAGCAGCTTTCTCTTTGCGTCATCCCAACTCTCAAAAATTGTATTCCTTTGCTTTACTTTAGTCCTTTCACTTTTGTCCTCATCCTCATCATCCTCCTTCAGGTCTTACGTGTTGAACTGGGTTCAAGGTGAGGCAGAGAGGAACAGGGGGAGAAAGAGAGAGACGGATTAGTATGGAATATAGAAAAAGAAAACAACTCTTCTCTTCCCATCAAATTGTTTCATAAGCTGATTTACTGTAGGCTTAAATTCTGATTGGGAAGTTAAATCTATTTTTAATATATGGACCCACGTCATTGTCGTCATTGGGAATAATAGCGAGAAATTAAGGATCCATGTAACGCCTACCCAAAATTGTAGCACGTCTGTTCAGTAGTCCGATTAACCGTTTAATGTCGGATTCTACTTTGTTGGACAGATACATACATTTATACATATTTAGACATCACAGTATTTTGCACAACACGAAGAGTAGCGCAAATATATGTAGTTAGTGGTTGGAAAAGGGTGAGCGAGTGAGTGACAAATATCCTTTTGAGGTAAATATTTCGGGGAAGACCCGACACCGGTTGACTAAATATTATCTCTAACTCTGTTAGTCAAATCGAACAAGGAGAAAGTCGAGGTAAGGGCACACACGTGGATGGATGAGGGCACGTGTAGCAGCACAAAGACAGAAGGAGCGAGAGAGAGAAAGAGAGAAATAAATGACGTCTCTGATTTTATATTTGTGTATATTCATGCATCTCTGGCTTTCTTTTAGTACGCGTGTACTCTGAGATTCCTTCCTCGGAATCAAAAATTGGTTTTCTTTCGTTGCATAGAAATTGGATAATGAGATATTTGAGATGACGGTGAAACCAGATAACGCTTGACAGTTTAAATTACGGAGAAAGTTGTTATACATATTATGATGTGATATGCATATATACCCAATTACGTCAATTGCTCCAGTTCGCTTTTTCAAAATCTGGAAACGATTGTTAAGGATGAAAACCAGCATGTATTCTTTCTATTCAAGAATTTCAACAAGTAAACATTCTTTATTATCGTGCAAATGATATTTCTAAGCCCATGCTTGGTACATAAAGATGAAAGAACATGGCGAATTTTATGTATAATACGATTACAGTGAAGAAGCTCAGCTTTCATTAACACTGTAAACATAATGGCTGTGTTATTGCACGAGTTAATCACATTGCATTGTGCGATGTGCTCAATCCATTCAACATTTATTCAGATTCATTTCATATCCTGGCTGGGATTTCAGTTCAGCATTAAATATTTTAGAGCACAACCAATGCTAAGCAAAACTATGGCAGTAAGCTCACACTCCATACGCTAATTACCGAGTCCTCAAAATGATTCGAAGAAATGTTTTAAAACAACGAGCTTGGTTGTTTGGATTTGCTTCGTTGCTTGCGTGTGAATTTGAAACTTTTATAACATCCCTATTTGCCAGGGTTTAGATATCAACACTTTTATGCAAGGTGTACGTGAAGGATTGAATAATGCTTGCTGCTCCGTTGTGCACAGTTCAAGGCTGGTTTCTTCGAATCTAAAATCCGGATTTGGCTGGAAAACTTGTTTGTTAAACGGAAATTCCCGTGCTGCGACATGATGGTGCTCAGATTATAATATGATATGATACGCCCTTCCCTCCTAACAAGCTGGGTTAGTGAATAATGGATGACCTTTTGAGGGGGCTTCCTAATTGGAAGCGTCCTATCAGGTTGGCATTACATGCTGATAACGGAGAACTAAATCGGTGAAGGAGAAAACCCTTTTACACCAGTATTCCGATTTTTAGAAATTAAGATGCATCCCTCTGCTGGGGAAATTTTGAAATCTGTAAATCGGCTTTACAAAGTTCAAGTTTGGTTAGAGTGAATAAAGCCTCGTTGATATGAAAGGATTTGCTGAAACAACGCACAACTGGCTGAATTGAGTTATCATGGTATAACGGACTGGATTGAGTTACGTGGTTAAACTTTCTCCTTGATGCATAGTCACACAGGGAGAAAATATAATTTTCTCCACTTATCTACTAGCGTCTCAATATCATTAAAACTTTAGTTATTTGAACTAACCCAAACTCAAATTTCAATACCTTCGTGGTCAAGGAACAACTATTATGCCAACAATTTCAAAGACTTGTCATGTCATGCAGAGAATTAGAGATGTATGCCATAAGCGTCTGGAGGGTTATATATTCGGATTGCGCAAGGAATCGGGGTTGTGTAACAGAGAGACGTTACTCACACCCACTCGTCGATAGGAGCGGTTGGATGGAAAGACTAGTATACTTATGATAAGATGTTACAGAAGAGCGTAAGCGAAATAGTTATACCGAGAACAAAAATCCCTTTTCACTGGATTATCTAACCTCACACGAATTATGCTAACTAAAAGAGTGAACTTGGGCAAAAGATTTCATACTATCTCTCAGGCATTCAATTCAATTGAACAACGTGAAATTTAAACCAGGGTTATATTCATATATGATTTCGATATTTTATACACCGAAATCTTTCTCTGTACGTATGTATGCATGCAGGGATATGATTGTTCTTTGTGCATCACGTCAACTTTGTTTTCTCTCGTTGCACGCCTATTCATCCGTCTTGAATTATGAATCTTCATGTGTCTTGTCATCAGAATTATGATACAAGTTATCTTTTAATTTACCTCATTCCTAGTAGTTTCGGGTCAATGATAGACAAATTGCTATAATACAATACTAAGAATGCTATGCATGTTTGTTATATATGCATGTATTAAGTGGCTTAGAGGTAGCAGTGCTGGGTATTATTGTTCGGATAAATTACTCAGTTTCTTGATCATTAATGTAAATGTAAATATGATTGATGTAAAACTGGTCAGCACTGGTTTCAGTTGGGGCAATGTAAAAGTTAGAAGAACAAATAAGAAGAATAAATCGTTAAATGATAATTGCAAAAGTCGGTCGGCGTCTTATTAGTCCGTTTGACGGCCATCTTTATGAATGTGTGGTTGTGAGGTGACCATTGGGAGATATGCATTGGTGAATGGGTTGAGTGATATCGGAGGAATTATTAATTTAACACACATACAGTGATAGTTTCTACTGAGGGTCCTAATACTTGTTGCATGGAAGAAGGACCAGGGTAAAAATGAGTCTCAGCGATACCAGGTTGTTAGTTTTTACTCTGACTCGGTCGAGTCGCAACGTACCAGACTTTTGAGAACTCTGATTGAGTTGAGACATCCCAACGTGAGACCACTGCCCACTTTTTATCACATTTTCATATCAGTTTCAACAAAATTTTCAATTATTCGCAAAAAAGTACGAGTAGAGAGTGCATTCGTTCGTCTTCCTCGGCTCAATCACTATTATTTTTTATATCTGCTGTGCTATAGGCTGTGAAGGGTAAAAAGTATGTCTAACTTTCTCTATTCATATTTTGTCTCACATTCTATGAAGCCAGGTCAAATTCGTAAGATGCTCTATTAGAATTGAGTTTAAGTTCGTATATTGTTGTTTTTACAGATTCTTAAGAAAATGGCTCACTCTGGCACTGGAATCGGCCTTAGTGACACACAATTCGATGCAGAGTTGAGGCGTAATGAGATTGATCACGACTTTTTTGACAACCCATGCGGTAACAGCTTTACCTCAGAGGACAGCTTGGGGTCTGATGTTCCTTGCAGGACGAAAAAATCCGAGGATGAAACTCGAACTGAAGAACAACATGAACTAGGGGCAAGTGAAGCCGATAACCGACCAGGACCTCGACTCCGTCTCAATTTGGACATGGCTGCTGCTGCACGACAATCACGACATCACGACGATGACGACTTGGTCACCCCTGACACTTGTGTAGCCTCACCAAGCACACGCTTTACTTTGCCAGCACCATATTCTGGACACATTCATTCATCTGGAGGTTTCTTTAACTCAGGAATGCAGGTATCGTAATTTGGGTCACTACTATTGCACATACATGCTTACTTATTATTAAAGATATGAACTGGAAATTATGTTGGGGTTTGCGTGTTATTTTACAGGGAAGTGGATCTGGACCGCATTCATCCTATTTAACTACGGATCCTCATAAATATGCTGAACAAAATACAGGGAATGCATTTATCGATTGTCCTCTGGAAACACGGGAGAAATTATTTGACCTCAGCAGCAGTAGTTCTGAGGGAGACTCGGATTCAGATGCAGGGTCTGACGGTTGGACTTTGGACACTGAAGATGAAGAATTTGTAGACCTGCTGGAGAAATACTATGATTACATTGATCTTGGAGAATCTGATAATTCGGACTTGACTGAAGTTTCTCCAATGTCATCATTCTCAGCCAGTCCCCACCCTTCGTTCGGAAGGAACGTCCAAGAAGTTCCCGACCATGCTGATCCAGTTTATAAAGTCGATGATCGAACTTACAACCGACTTAATGGTATGATGGGTCGCACTGAGAAATTGCCTCTTGCCAAACCCCTTCCTCCTCTTATCATCCACACATTGGAGGACGTTCCAATTATCAGGCCTCGACCGGCTACTTTTGCACAAGGATTTGTAATCCCAAAAAAGGAGGATGCTTTCCCAGAGCCTCTTCTCATGAAGGCGATCAACTCTGACAATAATATCGATGAGCGTCCAAGTAACAGTCTTAGCCATCGTAAGGGTTCATTGGATGGGTCGGACATTAAGCCATCTTCCAGCGCAAGTAATATGTCTACTTCCACCTCATCGGCTTCATTTCGGAGCAAAAGTGAAAATAACTTGCTTCAACAAGCAGAATCATCCAGCATGTCTGTCCCATCATCGCTCGATTCATTCGCCCTAATCGCTCAGTTTCAAGAAACCCAAGAAAACAATAAACCCTACAGAAAATCCGAGAGAAAGAGTTCAGATTCCACCAGAAGCTTTACCTGTGCTCAGATAACTCATGTCAAGGGGACAATTCAGCATCATCGATATGGATATCATAACCATCAACCAGTTAAGGCTTCAGCAACTATTGCACGACAACGTCAACAACGACGAATTGAACATGAGAATTCGGTAAGTCCAAGTTATATCTTGCTTTCACTTTTTTATATTTATTAGTACTAGTAAAATAATGTTTTAATTAATTGCAGATCTTGGTGCGACGCTTGCAAAGTGTGAAACCGTCAAAAGAAATTGTGGAAGCCTTCAGATCTGGAACGAATAATTTAAAATGCACTTTCTAAAACTAAATTCAAAATTACCAAATGCAAACTTTCAGAATATTCAGATGTATTTAAAAATCCAAGCAAATCAAAATCATTTATCCAGGGCCTCATGATTTCTTTTATCAATATTAGATTATGATAGTGGTTAGTAATTTTAAAATTGCAGATTGTAGTTTTATTTGACAAGTGGAAAATAATATGTGTACTGAATTTTAGGGAGTTAAATGGTGCATCAAGGTATTTTTTCAAAAGTAATGCAAACTTTCTTTAAATTACTAGCAACGATATCAGAGTCTATATGATTTAGTATTTCAAAACAAAATTATTTTCAATTATGTATTTCATTATTATAGTTACCCCTATTCCTATTATAAAAGTGTTTTAAACATTGTAGCACTGTACAATTTCAAAAGATGTGTTAAATCATTAGCTTATTGTAAAAAAAACTTCATGCAAAATGAATCCAATGTTGAATGTAATATGTCATTACTAAGTAACATTACGGCGAGTTCACAATTCATAATCAGTCAAAAACTATAATTTTGTGATGTAAACGCCTGGGTATCGAACAGTATATCTAAAAAAATATGAAGGTAAATCGAAAGAGTCTTAAAAGCTGGAATAATTCCATGACGTCTGCAATTGCCAAACGTCGAACCAAATCAACCGCAACTGAATACTTATTATACGCAAAATTTTCTCAAAAATGTTCTTGCAATTTGCTTGTAATAATGGTAAGAAAGCTAAATAAAGTCTTTTTATTACAAAAGTGGCCAATTAAAAGATTATAAAGTGTCTTGAATTTATAAACTATTTATATAAGGGTTATTTCCCATCAAAAACATCATATTAACAGAAAATTTAGGAAAAACACAAACAAAAAACAGAGGGTTTCTTCTATTTCGCATACATTCTAGCAAACGGGTAAATGAACTTCAAAACCTCTTGCAATTCTTTCTCCTGGGTAACTCCTGGAATACATCAATTCGGTAATTTAAATTAGAAATTAGGGTTGTTACACTACGAATTAATATGCGTTGCTTGTTCAAAATAATAAAAATAATGTTTAAGGATATGAAAGTTGATGTACCTGTGATAAGACCTTTCCCCGTCTGGAATAGTATGATTTTTGCCTTTGGGACCGTAACTTCGATTGTAATACCAGAAAAATTTTCTTCATGGAAGCTGCCAAGAATAAGAAATATCTCAAATTTGTGTACATACATCACCTCGATGTTCAAACTGATTCTCCTCTATGTACTTACACTCTTCCTCTTAGGAGTTCACATTCATATAGATCATTCAGCCGTATTTTGAACTGGAGATTTATGGACGCTGATATATTTTGAACGGTAATGATTGGCAGCCTAACCGGGAATCCAATCCCACGAAGTCTGGCCGCAAACTTTCCTACGGCCTTCTCGCAATCAGCAACGGACTTGGTACCTGTCACGATCATGTTGCCTGAGTTAAATATCATGCCCACGGCGTACGGGTCACGCAGGAACATCTTCAGTGGGGTAAAGCTGTCCTTATTGTATTGATTGTCGTAAGAACTCTCCGCAATTTTTACAAGATCCAAGTCACATCCTAAGGCTACCGACGCCACCACAGATCTAAATTTCCAATTAAGTATTTCATCAATCCTCTCACCAATAATTTTCGTCAATAAAACAGTGAACAAAACTTACAAAATTTGGGGGGTTACTGTACTTGGTGGTTTGCTAGGATCCTCCATCCAAGGCATTCCAGTTTTCTTGATGATTTCCGGGATACAAAAATTGTAGACACTTCCCATATCGGGTAACGAGTGTTTCTGCCTTTGTTCACAAATTCGAGGAGGGTCTGCAACGTCAACACGAGCTCTGTCCGACTTGCGTGGGGAAGGACTGTTGACAAAGTTTGGTGGAACTTCTACAGGAGCTGGCGCCTTTATTTCTGATGACGAATTGGTGACCGGGGTGATTTTTTTTGATTTGGAGAAGAGATTTTTTGGGTAATCGATTCGTTGGAGGATATTCATCGGGACAAAATCGTCGTCTTGGAAATCCATCATGATTCTGAGGGATGAAAATTTGGAAAACCCAGAGAGAGAAAAGATCAGAGGACCGACGTGGTTCACGGGAGGAATGGAAGTGGTGAAAATTCAAGCCGATCTATGAAAATTATTGGAGAGAATGCCAAAACCTGAAACTTTAACCCATTTAAATTAACCCAATCGGACCTATGCAAAATCTTGTAATCCTTTCATTAGCTAGACAGACACATTCATTGTGCTCTGATAAATACCTGGCGGTCTGTATTTGTGAGGGTTCGCTATTTTCTAGCAGGCCAGGATGATTAAATTCGATTCCTACATATGAAGATAGGCAAAATCTGGAAAGTGGTAATTTCATACAAAAATCCTATTTCTGAGGACGCATACTCAAACTAACATTCTTGAACAAAATATATTTGCATCTTCGCGGAAATACGTACTTATCTCTCGTATAGGAATGGCAAGTGATAATCCCGTCGATAATACATATCCACTTCAACTTTTGAAGTACACGAAAGAATTTTGGCATTATCATTACTCATCAACAGAATGAATTGCAACTTTAGTACCTCTCTTTTCCTCTTTCGTTTCATACGTGATAATATTGTAAGAAGTGTATAATATGTGCATGCAGGAATAATTTCACGGCTTTGGTTTTCAGCGATTGAGATTGATACCTGTATTTAAAATGCACATTGAAGATTCATTGAATGGGTGATACTGAATTGAAATACTTTCAAGATAAGGGCGACAGAATTTGCATATCTCTGATTTTCATGGGACGAAAAGAACTTTTCATACTTTTCACACTAAATTTCATACATTCCTACACAAAGCCTTACCATTGGTTTTGAAATTAGACCCTCGTACTGCTACAATATTATGTTTAAAATTATTGCATAGAAGCATCATCAAATTTTCATGAAAAAATAAATACATGAAATTCTAAAAATTCAATTTATGACATACTCCTCCAAACTTATAGCTCGACTGTTGCATCTAGCAGCCCGATGTGACCATGACCAATTTTACCACCAGAAACGACCAGTCCCACAACGACGACGACATACGACGACCAGGGAGGAGTGACACTGCTGTCAGCAGCATTTCGGAGGAGGAGGAGAGAAGTGTGAGAGGAACTCTGCTGCCATTCGCCGAGTGGAAATGGACACGAAATTCGAAGGTGGAAAAAGTCCCTCTGAGAAAGAAAGACTGAAATGAAAACATCTCCGTCGCACTCAAAAACAGCAACACCACCAAATATGGGCACTCTACTCCTCTCCCCAGAACAAGGAGGCAATTAAATACCCCCCACGACTGGAACGGGAACACCCACCCATTGATAACACCTTATCCACATCAACTTTATACGCGGATATCAAAAACGGTAAACAAAATCTGAGTTTTTTTCTTTCGAGGTTTTGATTCAACTAATACATAATAATTTACCGATCTTCTGTACTTTTACTTATCTACTACTCTTGTTTTCGTTGAGAGAGATTATCTAACGAATATTTATTATGTATTGATTGACAAGACTAGTTTGCATATTCTTAACAAGCGATGGTTTGGGTCTCATCATGATTGAGTGACTCTCTTGTAAGTAAGTGTCAATGAAATACATAAAATGAGTTATTTTTACGAGTTGTAATTTTTTATGTAGACAGGTGGACGAGTCGTTTTGGTTGGTGTCGTAGGAGACGACGATTGTTGAAAATGTAGCGAGGAAATTTTCAAACTGATATTCAACCGAGGAAGAAGAAGAAGCTGAAGGGGTTGAATAAAAGTATAAACATGGGAAAGCGAAAGAGAAGTGGAAGTTTTTCAAAGTCGGATGATCCAGGAGGGGCCAAACGGAGGTTAGTTGTTTATCAATCATTAAAAACAAAGTATATAAATAGGTTGCAGAAAAAAGCGTTCATTTTGCGATGACATTTGTGTATTTGTATTATATGTTATATAGTGATGCAGAAGACAGTCAAGAAGAGTTGGATGGGGAAACTGCTGCTTGCTCAACAAAAGGGGCTACTCCTGGGGGAGTGGGTACGCGGTGCAGTGCAAGGGTCCAGGAAAAGCAAGAAAAATTGCGTAGAGAATCTTCCCCTAGGTTATTTGATATGAATATCTTAGTTTTACAGTTCAACAAATAAGTTAACAAATGAAAAGAGGTCATTGAACTATTACTAACATATATTTGTTTACAGTAAACAAATTCTTCCACTTGAGGTGAACTGTTCTTCCTCAGCGACTGGTAGCAACGTGGCTTCAGCAGTTTCAAAAGGAAGTGTCAAGAATCCGTCTCCCAACAATGACAACGCACCAACATCCAACGAGGTAGGGGCCAGTAGTCAGATGGGCCCAGCTTTAGAAGAGAAACGAAAAAAGAGGACATGGGAATTGTGGAGTATCGAAGACAAACAACTATTTTTTGAAGCTCTTAATGAAAATGGAAAAGACTTTGACGCTATTCAAAACTATTTGGCTTCAAAAGCCAAGTCTAGAAAGTCTGGTGCTTGTGGACAATACGCTCCCAAGAATAAGGACCAAGTTCGTCATTTTTATTACAGAACGTGGAATAAGATCTCAAAATATCTCAGATTTCCTGATGGTAGGTCATTGACCTCTTTTTGTGAGACATTATTTGATATCTTCTTGTTATTACTAACCACTAACTAAATTATGATTTAGGAATGAAAAAAGCCAATCAAGAGTTGTACGGATTAATCAATTATGGTGAGTTACGTAAGAAGCAACGAATACTAAATTCCAAGACTGCTACCAAGTTGTGCGAACTAGTGGAGAACGGAATTACGTCAATTAAATTTCGAGGAAAGACTTGCCGAATTAAGACTCCCGTATGCCGTGCACTCAAGCGGTTGAACGGACTGGACGATGTCGAGCATACAAGAGTCCCTCATAAAGTTAGTGTGGAGTTCATTCCTAGAGATGGAAAAACTTGGAGATCTATTCAAAGTGTGTCTCAGAACCCTAGGATAAAAATTGTCGCAAGCCTGCAAAGGACATTTTCTTCCATTATATCATACTTGGAGAACAAATGGAAGAGGAAGGATGATCGATTGGTACTAGCTTTTGACAATTCTCCACGGGTACATAGGTTGTTAGTAAAACATAACTTTACTAATTTCTATTATTAAATTTACAGAAGGAACAATTTTCGTCTGTGTTTGGAAAAGCACCTACGAGGCTCAGAATTATCCCAGATCGTCGAGATTTCAACATCCCTTTATATCGGGTTGCTGAAAATACTAACTCGGCAACAATTTGCCTTCGATCTTACAAGAAGAATGTTTTAGTCTGTGAAACTCAAGATGAGAATGAAACCAGCTCAAAAATTAAACGTAAGAGGAAACAGTCTGGAGGAGGAGTAGGAGCAAGTGGTGGCGGTGGTAATAACATCCCGAGTTGTTCAACTGATACTCCGGTGGTATCTGCAAAATGTCTAGTTCCTTTCGAGTATCCTATGGACCCTGAAGAAACCAGTGATGCAGAATCACAGTCTGCTCTTCTTTTCCCTCTAGCTTCAGAAGATTTACAGTCAAATTTTCGGGACGACCAAGTTTATTTTTTAGCGGAGCAATCGGATGAAAATGCTCTATCTACAAAAGACGAAATCTTTTCAAGACACTTTAAAAATATTGAAGACTATACAAATGTCTTTCGTGATATAGGATATCCTGCAGATGAGAACCAAAACGGCGAGATTAATCATTTACAACAAACTGAAACAGACAATGATGACGTGGAGCATGAGCTTGATGAAGCCCCAGAAGAAAAATTTCCTGAAGTGGAGGCGAAACCCGTGAAAACGGAAAAGTTTATTTCTCATCTTTGGGACGAAGATCAAGTTCGGCGAGGTTGGACTGCAGAAGAGACAGGAACGATGACAGTTGGAGAAGTTTACCTTATGGTACGCCGTTTGTTTCCCCTTTGTTGTATTAGTTGGTTGTAAAATAAAATAAGACTTATCTAAAATTTGTTTGTAATAATCTAGTTGGGACAAACCGAAAAAATAAGTTTCGAGTACTTTTGGGATGGCCCCGACAGCTTAGAGGATGTTCGAACTCACAGTTTGCTAGAAAAACTAATTATGACTGCAACTTTTCTCCGGAAAAAGAAAACTCCAAGATCTAAAGCGACGACTATCTTAAACGCCTCGATAAAATGTGGGGCTCAACTGAAATGCTCTACATGTGGTGTGAAGATAGAAGTACCTGCCAATCTTTCTTGCTCCACCAAAACATGTTCAGCGTCTGGTACTGCATCATCTATTAATGCTGTTCCCAATACAGCACAACCTCCGCTACTTGTACCTAGGCTCAAAAGTAATGCACCTCTTAGCACAAGCACAACGAACGGCAAGCAATTGTCACTGTTCCCCCCACCACAAGCCATACTATCTGCCGAACCAAATGTAGCTTTAACAATTCCATCCAACATGGACAAACTGTCAGTCAGTGCCACCTCATCTTCCTCTTGCGAGTTCACTGGATCCAAACAAGAATTATCTGATCTAGACAAGTCACTTTGTTTGAGTAGGTTTATAATACCAAAAACAGAGCCCGGTAACCTAACAGATAACCAAATGAGATTTAAAACGTCAGAAACTTTAGATGAAGGAATTTCACCGGTGAATGGACTTCCTAATCAACATCAAATTTATAATAACGGTCAGAGCTGTACAACTACTCTAATGCCGTATGCTACTCAGAATAGTTCCACGGCAAATAATGACAATTGCCTCATCGAACTTTGTTCTTTGGCAACTAACAAATGTAATAATCCAAATATTTCGCAAAATATTACGGCCACATTACTACCACCTTCTTCCTGCATGGTAAGAAATCCATCCGGCACGGTCTCCATCGTATCTCAACAAGAACTTGGTAAAAGAAAGAACTCAGATTTCATTCCCCGTGGCAAAACAGAGCAAATAACATTTCATAGGCCTACTACACATCTGAGAACACTGGAGCCTGCAAAACTTCCTCCCGATGTAGAATTCCCTCCTCCAAAGCCATTCTTAGACTTACCTAAAGGAAACCGTAGACTGGGCAGACGACCAAATTTCAAAAGAGTAGTTATTCCTCGTGTGCTTCCACTTTTACCAAAAACTCCTGCTACAACTTCTACAATGTCCGTCATGACATCACTGGCAGAGAATGTGTCTACTACCATTTCTTCAAGTTTTATTAATGTCCTTCCCGTGCGAGGACTATCCATCATTTCTTGTGCAGAACAACAAAGGGAAATCATACATTCTACTACTGAAGCTAAACCGACTACAACGACCATCATAACTGTAACACCACCAGACAACAACAATCCACAGGGGATCAACTCGATGAAACTAGGATATCCAACGGATCCATCACCATCATCATCCACTAAACCAACGACGCCTCGCAAGGCAGAGGCAGCTGGATACGAAATATTTATGAACGTTGCTGGAACGTTGAGTTGCAGTTCCACAGATTTCGAAGATTTGCTTAAATTGAAGCGAAATGAAGGGAACAACAATTTAAATGCTGGTGATGTTGATTCAATCTCTCTCTCATCATTCATGGAAATCTCACTTCCAGAGTCAGCAAAAATGACTGCAAATGAAATGAATATTGACGATCTGGATAATTCAAACATTAGTTTGAGTAAGTGCAATGCATATGTAGAACAATGAAATGAGTGTGTTTGATAATTTTGTATCTAATGATTGTCCTATCGAAATAATTTTGTGCAGGTATGATACGTTTGGAAAAGGATACTCCTCCTAAGGATCTCATTACTCCAGATTCATCCCCAACAAAACGGGTTTTGATCGGAGGACCCTGTGGATCTGATTTAATGCCAGACTTTGACAAAACCTGGTCTATGGATGTGAGTCATCTTCAAGTCTAGCACAATACAATAGATTAATTTTATATTATTTTCAGGGTGGAGATTTATCTCTCAGCAACTTCTTTCATTTCGATTCTCAAAGAAGTAATGCTTCTGAGACTCCAGAGGTGAGGAGATCTTAAAATTTTCTTTAGACTGGATATTCAAAGTTACAGTATTTAATGTTTGTCCATTACTAATTTTTAGAATGAAGTCAATTTTCAAGCTATTTTGGATGATGGAAGTCTAGACTTTTCCTCCAAACTTCTCCCTGATGTCAGACGATAGAAAATAATAGTACAAATTTCGCGCTTCGACTTCCACTACAGAAACGCGCAACTTTCGATATCAGATATCAATAATGCAATCATTTTTTGGCCCGAGTCAGGGCTAACGTCGCGACTGTCTTGTCTGAGACATGATAGAACAAAAAATTTTCCCATAAGGTCTCAGCTCGAAATTTCCTTCTACCTTTGTTATTTAATGACAAATGTAAAAGAAAATTTCAATTTTTAAATCATTTCAAGGACCTGAACCACACTGGTTTGTACCCTATATTCGTTGATTTTTAGTATATCTTGGCAATATGCTCTTATTTATTTATCAGATTTTGAATGCAATTGGTTTATAACCGGCAGCCTCATTACTGGTTTTTGTGTAGCTCCAAATAGTCAGTGACTCTGAACCTTTTTCTTTTAGATAAGAAAATTGAAAATCAAACACGGGAATTTCATAGAAAGAGAATATTACGTAACCATTTTTAAGCAACCATTTTTGTCGAAACGGATAAGTAGAATGAAGGCTGACTCGGGCTACATGAAGACTGCACTGGAGGTTGTAATATTTTACAGTGATTTGCGTATTTTTATCACGTTAATCACTGTTTTCCTCAATTATATTCTTCGAAATATTCAAGTCATTATAGCATTATCAGCTACTACACTCCGCTTTTGTGAATAATCTAAAGAAAAGGCAGGCATACAGCCTCAAATAATAATTTCCTACCGAACCCTGCCTTGTGGTGCCTCTATCTACTCCTCAAAGTCAACAAATTTCAAGTATAATATTTAATAAGTTTAGTTAGTTTCAATGTTGTCCACCGCATTTGAATGTCCCATTATTAGTCTGAATCTGAAAAGTATTAACCTCATTTATGATATTATTGGTACATTGTTACATACATATTTTCACAATTTAATTGTTACACACATAAGAATGTATTCCTTAAACTTTTTTCTGGTTATAGGGTTATATTTGTTTTGGTCTCACCACGCTTGCAATTATGGTGTTTCTTAATACTTAATTGTCATCGTACTTGTACTTTACTGTTTTTGTTAAAGGCTATACTGTTACTAGCTAAATATCCATTTATTTATGTACTAATTACTTATCTGTTCAAATACTTGCACCACACAGCGATTACTAAAACTTATCGTCATACTTACATGGAACGTTTCGACTCGGTGCTCAAGTCCTACCAGAAGATTAATTTACGCATAATATCAAGTTAGTTAAAAGTGTTTTTCATGGCAGGCTGTAATAAATTGTAAGTGTAAGGACTTACTACTGGCCTACTTAATTAGTTCTAAGAACACAATAATGTTTATATGCAATAATAACCGCTATGCAAGTTTAAATGGTAAAACAAACGCGATTCCGTGATTTTATACAATTTTTTCAAATTTGGTGAAAATAAATTGCCGTAAATGAATTATGAAATTTAAAAAAACGTGTCGATATGATATGTTTTGAACATTTCTTTGTCTTCTTATACTTTCACTGCATTTATTTTATTATTTTCAGTCATTCCATTCCATCCGACAAGTATTCATAAATTAAAATTAGAATAACACCTATTTGACGAATAATTTTTACCACATCAATCAATTATATAGTTATTACTAACAACGTTACATGCAACGTGTACATATAAATATGTATATGCAAAGTCGGGCGGGCAAGATACTTTGTCAAGATACATGAAAAAAGTTAGAAGATAGTCTCTTTATTTTGTATCGTCGAGAAATAAGTATCTTGTACATATGCATCTTTTAGGCAAACGAATAGTATCTTCTTCATACATCTTATCCACAGAAAAGTATGTTAAGATTTTGACAGCATACGAGATACAAATCACAAATCCGATAAAGTAAATCCATTTCTTACTACTGTCGGTCAATTTGATCATCATCTTGTCGTACTCAGAGTTGTGAAATTTTAATTTAGGAATTACATACCTGGTATGTACATGTGTACATACTTATATACACATGTATATATATACCCATTTGGGTGTATATGCACACGAGCACATTATTATTTTACAAATTTTATAGAGCAAATATGCAAATCCGTAGTATATATGTACTAATTATGTATTTAGTACATAGCATACTGCATGATATGGACCTATACTTCATGAATGTAGATATTACAAGTTTTACTTTTAGTTTGAGCAAGCAGCGAATGTAGTAGAAATATAGGTGCAATGTAAAAAATGTATGTACTGTAGGTCTACTTTTCGAAATTTAGAATTCTTTTAAAATATAGACACTTGTAACGAAATTTGTAAGGTGATTACTAAATGTACCTTAAATTTTATATTAAATAGATTTTCTTCGATTGACATTAAGCATGAGTAATTGAACATGAATACCACACGAAAAGAAGAAAGTATGTATCTTCTAAAACATAAAAGTATTTTAAGATAGACATCTTGTATCTTGGCTACTTAATTTTTAGGACAGTGTCTTGTACCCTGAAGTACTTGAACAAGATGCATTTTATACCTGAACCCGAAAGTATCTTCATTTTGTATCTTATATCTTACGACCAAAGTAGCTTGCCCATCCTGATGCATACAAATGTAATATATCGCACAAACAAAATACACATAAACCAACCATTTAATAATTTCGTGGTAGTTTTGACAGGTAAATAATATATGTATGGATTGTGTTGTGAGAAATAAATAAATTTTTTGACAATCTCACTAAACTCACAATAACGAATTTTGTTCACAAACAACATTGCAACATAATCAAAAATAAAATTCGTAGAAGCATATTTTAGTCATCATCACTGCGATTTTACTCTTTAATGTGAGTTTGTTTGTTTGTTCTCCTCCTTAACTTTTTTATTATGCACAAACTGCTCGATAACTAACTACAAGTAATTATTACATTTGAAATCATCATCCTCGCCCCCTCTGCTGAATTATTATACGTACGTATTTCAAGCTTTGTATTGCATACGCTTGTGTTTGTTGTTTGTGTGTGTCGTCCGGTCACCTCAGTCTAAAACCCGTTTCGGGGTTCATTATGCTTAACCTCTTTCGAAATAGTAAAGACTAAAAGCTACATCAGGCGACAACAACATATCGGGCACGTGGCACATCTTCTAATATTCTATGGTCGAATAATTTTAGTATTATGCAAAGTAATATAGTGTCGGATAATCGTAGCATAATCTATCTAATGTAGTTTTGCATATTATCATGAATACTTTTTGAATACCGTCTACAGACGTAGTCATTTGATGGGAGTCTTCTTCCATGGAATTTTTGGATTAAATAGTTATTGATTGAGTGGAGTTGGTGAAGAACAACGAGCGGTTGTAGTGATTATTTGTAGATGAGGACAGGATTGCTATATATTATACAAAGGGTGACTCGCATTTACATTTAGAAAGGGTAGAAAGGGTTCCGATTACCCATTTGTGTAAGCTACCATACTTTTTGATGCAAAAATGTCTCTGCTAACAAAAATATTTAGGAATGATTAGCCGAATTGCGATTAGATTTTCTCTCGAGATGGGATTTTTAGTAGTAGGAATTTATAGTTTGGGAAATTCATTTGTTACACAAGTAAATAAATGTATGAATGGCCTTTTAAGAACAAATTATGACACCATAATTATAATAGAGTCTAAAACTGCATTGTTCTCAAGAATGTTTGTAATGTACGTATTTTTCTAAAGGCAACACTCTTCAAAACTACAAAATGAGATAACAATCTAAAAGACATTGATTCCTTTTCCAAGAATTTCAAAAGACCTGAGATTAATTTAAGTTACAGACGGAAACGTACATGAGGGACAGTCTAAAAAGTAGGATTTCACTTGTTGAAGACATTTACTTATTACTTCCGATAAGCGACGAGCAATGATGGTGCTGTTTTAGTGGGCGTGAAAATCACCCATCACAACTATTAGTTAGTTATTCTATATGTTTGTAGTATGTGTATATATTGGTGTAATTATATATGTGATTACCCTTATTAATCTGTGTTCACACTCATTTTGGAGATCTCTAGGTCGGTCTACCTCCAGCAAATTGTATAGAGCTTGCGTAATTCAATATTTATAGCACAAAATAAGGTGATATTTCCGATCTACGAATGATTTATGATTTATCGGGGAACGACGACTGGCAGGGGAACAATATTGAAGTCTATTAAAACAATTAACCCTACTGAACAACTTCTACATAATTCGCAGGATAGAGTCCGACACGTCCGTCTTTCCTCCCTTTGCACCATCCTTGTTCATCCTCATCTTCTAGTTTTTCGAACACTTCCCCTAAAAACACAAGCAGGTATCAATTTTATGAACACCATAAACCATGTATTGTACAGTGAGTCTAAAATCATCAGTTCGTAATATTTAACATTTAAAAGCAGTAATGCACACCTTGTTTAAACGTCAATTCATCATCCTCTGCCCCATCATAGTCATATAATGCTCGAACAGGAATGCCCGGTTCCCCCCGGTCTACCAGTGGCGCATCAGTATTAGAATATTCATCCCATTCCTCCTCCTCAAACGGGTTTCCCTCCTTGCTTCCTTTCCTGTTGAGTGATGAACTAGATTTGAATAAATGCCTCCCAAAATTAATTTCAGTAACTAATTTATGTGCTAAATATTGCTGTACTAAATAATGCAATTATTATTAATAATTGATAATACTTCAAGTAGTATCAAGCTGTGTGAGTAATTTAATAAAATCAATCGCATACCCTGAACCGTTAGGCTTAATGTCCTCTTTAGAGCCAGGACTCCCCTTATTCATTTTCGGTTTAGACTCTGTCCCATTTCCGTTTGCTTTCACCTTAATGGAATTGCCTTTCGACATCACCATCGTGGGTGGTGGAGGATCTTGAGGACCGCCAGCCTGTAAAGTAATTAGTAACCCCATAGGGTGAAGTAGTTCAGCATATATTCTAAAAGTTATTATCTAGTAATTAAGCCCCAAAGTACAAAATCACGAGTTTGCGTAATGCATAATAATACCCCTCGATTACTAGTTACATCAATAGGCTTACAATAGACTAAATACCACTCCCACAAAGCATCCTCCCATCTCTGACAGGGTTAATCCATTAATCATAAGTCAAGTTGTTGTTGTATTAATTTAAATCACACACCGCTTATATTTAATTACTAAAAGTATAACATATTAGTAGCACTAACTCATGACAAAGGATATCGCAGCAGGGGGGAAATTAATGCCCGAAACCTGAAAAGTGAAAGCATTCAGTTGCATGCGTCCAAAATGCTTTATACCAAAATGCAAATATAATTATTCAGCAAGGAGAAAGCAGTGAGTGATGAAAGCAGAGAGAGATCTACATAGACGATGAATGAATAAGCAGCAGGAAAGTAGGGATGTTCCCAAGGGATGGAATTTCTTACAGGCAGATCGTCCGAAACGGGCTTTTGGGTTAACAACATGATTCCACCGGCGGGCACGGCATCTTTCACCCTGCTTTTGGTTATGTCTCTAAATTCTTCCGAGTAGTCCTTTAAAGTGCAAAAACCAATCCAACAAAAATTAAAACAAACTCATTCCATACGTTCACTTGTCATGCCGATTGTAATCAAATCAAGTGGTTAGAGAAACTAAAGAACTGCACAAAAGTAAATGTACATATAAGGACATTTGATTGAATATGGTTCAAAAGTAAATCAAACTTGTAGTACGATAGCTGCTGAGATGCTGCAGCTCCATTAAAACTAAGGAACATGACATGCACTCCAAAATGAAAAAAAAATCCCGAAAGACCAAAGTATTGCAAAATTGTGATAGTTTCTCCACATATGTAGAAGCTATGAAAGTCATTCAAAGGCAACATGCAATTCATCCACCCGTCATCACTAGTTAGATTTGTTTGAATGATTTGTAGTAAGAAAAAAGTAGACATAGTTAACGCTTAAAATGGTGTGACAGATGACAGATAAATTTTCCGACGTCCATTTTCATTGAGGAAAAGAGCCATTTCTTCCATCAATCTTTATAAATCCGATCTTTATCACATCATGAATTATCTAATGACTGGAAAAATGCGTGTCCACAAACGGATCGATCGAACGACTCAACTGGATGATTTTTGTTAACATTATTGCAATTTATCAAGTTTTTTTTACTCGCTCACCTCAAAAGTTGGCCAATTCATTGCCATGTTGACTCCATGATTGTTGGACCACCATTTTAAATCTTTCATATGATCCGCGTTGCTAATTGTGTGATAAAATTCTTCATAAATTTGTGGTAACCTGAAAAATTAGCATAATGGTCAGCGATGTTACACTCCCTGTTCATAAAAACATCAAGTTTTAGTAGGATTATTTATCCTTACTCTTCTTTCACGGAAATGTTGATGCATTTGTGGATCGAGTACATTTCATCTTTGAAAAACTTGAGCCGCTTTGCCTCCACTTCTTGGCACTTGTCGAAAACATCTCTCATGTCCTCAATGTATTTTGGGTTGTACTGCGTGATCTCTTGAATAGCTGCGAGTGAGAAAACAACAAGTTGATAATTTTCTCCATCCCCTTCTCTCTTCGCTCTCGTGGACATATCTCTCTATAGTATTTCCTCAACAATTCGTTTATAAATTAAAATGAAGGCAATGTTTATCATTTAATTTTTGTATTCCACTTCTAAACAATTATTGATTTTCTTTTAATAACTACATAATTTTTATTGTGATACAGTGAAGCCATCCATCTCAAAAGGATGTGCTGTGACTCACAGCCAATGCAATCTGACTCTGACGAGGAGGAGTACGAGAACATGTCGACACAAATGTTGAAGAAAATGATCGATGAAGGTGGACTTATCCTTAGTCAAACAACGAGGACACAACGATTGGCTATTCTTGTCAAAAAAATTTGATGAACGAGATGTGAAATATAAGCAAAGTACGTTTGTAAAAAAACATGAAACCTGATATTATAGTAAATTAAATTTTCTCGTAGATGTTGATTGTATGGTGTTAATTGAACAAATTCAATACTTTATAAATACGCATTTGGACATTATTTCGTAAACATAATTCTCAAATTTCATACCTGAGTCATATTTTTCTCGCGTCTTTTGCACTTCCTCTTTGCTCTTCGACACTCGATCTTGTAGCTTCTTTACCTGAAAATTACACGGTGATTAATAATAATAATAACACGTCTCTTTTAGAAAAAGGGGAGCTTGTAGTAATTCAATGCATTGATGAATGTAGCTCCTTCTCATGACATTTTACCCTAGGTCGATTTGATTAAAGTTGGCATGTCGATTTCGCCGTTCCAAACTTTTCTTGTGTAACCAGGTTCTAAAAATGGTGCCACTCAACCTTCAATCTGAACAGATCAATTCGCCGATCAATTTCATGACAATGAGAATTATGATGAATTACAATGCAGTAGCAGGTGGATTAAACTAGAGCTTATTTTATCTCGCCTGCATTTGATGCTGCCCTTATTAAACGCATACCTACATATGAACCTTGCAGCCATGTTTTGCCCCCAAATTGGAATAGAACCTCGGTTTATGATGGGTAATAAAAAATCATGTCACGGTGCCCGTATGCTCATTAATTTCATATAAGATTATTAGAAAATGCACGACCCAAACATTTGCTATATAATGCCAAGTTGAAATTGTTTCTTATACATAATGACGCACACACAGTGAATATTTGATCAAGAGTCTTCCAGATACTCGTGTCATGTCTGCTTTTCAAGAATCCAATCACTACCAAATTCATCGAAAAAGTCATGCATATTAAGCGAAACACTGTACACTCCAGTATACCACGAACTGATTTAGGACCATTTAAGCCTATCCATAAGGTATTACACGGTACAATAGTAAGTATGTAGGCCAAGTCAATATGGAATTGAGGTATTGAATAACATGGCATATTTTTACCTATTTATAACCATACCTCGAAGAAGATTTTATTCTCATCATGCCTACACGACTTCATATTCCCCGAACTACATGAATCTAGAAATTCTTTGATCACTATTGATTTTGATGTGCAAATATTTGACTCGTGTAAGATTCTCCTCTGATAAAGGTGACACTGAAGCAGCAGCAGGAGAACACATTCATCATCTCAGACTCAGGTTTATGCAAGGCATCAAATATGCGATGCGTACATGCATATAGTTAAAAAGAAAATCGAACACAATGATAATCTCCACTTGCATTTAGTGAAAAGTGGCACAATGCACACCAGTTATGAACAAGTAAACAAGGACCAATCTAAAAAAAAAGTTTGCCATTGGTGTGCGATGCGATTATTGTACTATTCAGAAAGTTCGTCACAATCACTCCACCGATAAATAGATCAAGAATGAACTGCTCATCGCTACCGTAAAGTAGTATCAACTATTCAGCGACTATATGCATGTAATGGTGTCTGTTAAAGGCTTTCTTCATAATTCACACGAGCTTCATTTGGATGCGACATTGACAATATGCATCATTAAAATGGTACATTTTCGCAGGCAAATTACCAATTCAAGCAGTAAATTTGAAAGGGAACTACAAATTGTTGCTCCTCGTTGCTCGTTGCTCTTGCAGGTACATAGGGGCCGCAAGCATGTGATTGAATTTCGGAGAATTTTGACCCCTACCCCCCTGGTGCGACCTACATATGCCCCATGTTGTAATTACTTGGGATGGATTGGATGCCTTGACCCATACCCACCCTCAAATTGAAAACATGCTTTTTGCACAGTCCCATAGCCAGACCAACAGTGGCAAAAAATTGATGAAAATTGCTTTCTCTGACGATAATGAAACACATCAACGAGCAGAATAAACTGCTTAATCACCAATTTGATGATGATTTGCATTTCATTTCTCTCCTGCCATTGTTTTCCCAACAAAGTAAAACATGTTAATGAGGATAAAGGTGGAGTTGGACCGAATAGAGACGACCATCATGGTGAGAACTTGATTGAAGACTTTACTAGAGGCGCATGGCTCACGTCCATCCGTCCCAGTTGACAATGTAAGTATTTAAGGTAGGTGGGTGGGTGGTGATGATGGTATGTAATTTTTTTGTGAGAACATTGACACATGGGACACCCTGCTGCTGGCTGTTGATGCATTAGCAAAAAATTTTATTAAATCTAACGTTGAGCTTTATTATTGCAGTCGTGATACTCTTCCCTCTCGCCCAACTATCATTAACAGCAGTGTATGCAAAGAGCACATTCTTGGGTGGATGCATATTGTGCCGCAACAAAATAGTTTATGCGACTTGAATAAGTTATACCACATAATGTATCGTAAATATGTGTGATGATTCGAAACATGAGGCATGCGTTTTGTTTGGAATGTGTTGGCTCTGCCTCTGCATCACCATAATTATCACAAAAATCGGCCACATGGGTGAAACATGACATGTATTTCGAATAATTGCAGTGCCAAATTACTACTCTTGGCTACCACAATTTCTCATAAAAGGACATAAAAATTGACCATGGCCAATAAAAAAATTACCTGATCTGGAGAGAGCGACGAGTCACTGGCAGCGTTTCGCTCTTGATTCAGTGCTGACTTTTCATTTTTGCAAGCGTTATGATAGTCTGCCTTCGCCTTGTTGACTTTTTGCAAAATCTTTGCCCTGAAAAAATAATGATAACACTATTATATAAGTAAACATGGAGGGAGGTCCAATAATTGAGGATGAGTGGCACTGGCTCGTAATTTACTAAAACCCTCACCATGGCTTCTGAGCTTTCTTGAATAGGTCTTCCATCTCTTTTCTCTCCTTCAGGTTCATCACGTTCTGAAAAAGGATAAGAAAACAAACAAATAAATAAATCTGCGTCACAAGAGGCCGTCGTTGAAATGTTTGACATTTTAAAAGTGGCCGTGAATGGATTGATGCGTTCATCTCTACGTATGTACATACTTCCTTCCTATCCATGTCATTTACCTTTTTACTCAACTTCAAGACTGACTGGACTGTTGTTGTAATAATGAATTCGCTTTATTCCTGTCAAGTACTACAGAACATGTGTTGGGTGTTTCAGACATGTGTCTGTTATTTGTCTTTAATCAAAAATATGTCGTATTTTTAGCCCAGAACAAGCAAGCAGGATACGCAATGTACAATTTGTAAAGAACTATTTCGATTTCAATAGTTTTGTGTCATATGTATTACTAAAATACCCATGACATCATTATACAGCCATTATAATACATATTCTTGCTCGCACCTTTTGATTGATTTCTTTCACAATTTTCGTTTAGCTGAACAAGACTTGAATGTAACGGAACATCAATTGTTGAAATAATTCGACAGAGGAAGTCTTTCAAAAAATTTATTATTCATGATTCTCTCTATTTCTCTGTAGATAAGGCCACTTAAATACGTTTTCACCACACAGTTTAGCCTCCTGAATGTATGTATTTAGATAGTGAGATAGCACTAGGCATGCAAATTAACGCCGCAGATATCTGTCAAAATACGAGCATTTGCATTTTACCTTCGCCACTGGACGGAGGAACTTTGCATACAATTTACACAGCAGCCAGCGAGGTAATTACATTAAAATTCAATATCGGGGCGAAATGAGGAGCACATAATTTGCATAATTTACCTTGTGGTAGGTGTCCTTTTGCCAACCTCTAATTTGGTTGACTACATCGTTCTGCAGCTCGTCCCTGATTCCAGAGTGGAGGTCACAAAGCCGATCCGCCTCGATGAGAACGCCTTTCCAGGCGGCCTCCGTCGTTCCATACTCTGGGCCTTTGTCTATCGTCTCTGCCCATTTCTTGGACCAAGTCTTTAGGTTGCGCGCATAGGCTTTCTCTATTTCCGCCCTCTCTTGGACCAGTGTGATTAGGTCGTTGCAGAGTTTGTACCCGTCTTCGATTCTCTTTGTTGTTCTGTGGACAACATTTTCCAATTATTAGCGGACATGAATAATAAATTCGAGTTGACACGGGCCAATCTTTTTAAGTGTTTGTTGCGTGGTATATACATGAATATAAAATATGTATCAAAGTTAGCATGCGTCTAATTTGAAATGATTATTGATTTATTGATGAAAAATTTAATATTACCTATTGAGTATGCATCCTACAGCTTATTGTGAAATTATCGTTTACCTGTCAGGCTTATTCAGCTAGATATTTACTTAGCCCGCAGGTGCGACCATAATATTTGATGTTTCGTAAAAGAGCTTTGTGACAGGAAATTTGAAGATAATTTCTACACACTTAAAATGTTACAAAATTGACTTTTCCCAATTGTGTGTCCTGAAAAAATATTTGCAGGTTGATGTTCATTCATAAGATATGTGTATGCAGTGAGTAAAGAAGAGTGCCCATCATTACGGACGAAAGGTTTTCGAAATTTTTTTTATATGTGGCGTCCCTTGAGGATGTGACCAAAAACTGGTATATCCCCGACCCCTAAAGTTATCTATCTTGCCAGCAAATCAGGGTCAAAATTCAATTTATTTCTCCAGTTTTTATTTTTACGGCCTCAAGGGATACCGCATAAAAAATTTGGAAATTTTTACAGAAAACCATTTGCCTGTAACGTCCTTAACAAGTACTTGCTAAATCCAGTATGTTTATTGACTTAAGCTGAAATACTATTTGCTGTATGTTACTCTGTACAGACAGAGTACATGCATGAAAGTGCTGCCATATTGTTTGTCTATGTTGTTTCCTTATGTTATGCAAACCCACTTTTTGATTATTACTGTGATGATTGAAAGCTTAAACATAAACGTGTGTGAAAACGCGAGAACCGACAGAAACATAATACGTTAACCGACTCCATATTATATATAAAGTTTGTTTTTATTCCACATTTTCCCTCATTATCGGCATCCTTGCGTCATTTTACTCGTCAGTTTGACCTTGGTGGGTTTCCATTTCTTTGTGATGATGTTATTACGTAACGTTATTTTATTCGCATTGTATAGAAACATTGCAAAATCGATCACCCGGAATTATTCCATCTAGTGTACGACAAGCAGAATTGTGTTTAGTGGGAATTAAACCGTGCCATACTTGCAATTCTGCTAGGTCAGTGGACCTCTTGACAACTGAGATCTCCAAGATCTTGAGTTTGAGTGTGCTTTCAACGGGCGATTAAAATTATTATAAACGAGAGCAAATAGTGACGACTCTGGTACATTTAGCAAATTGTGCTCTCTCATTCAAGAGTCATTAGCAGATGCAAATCCATTCCGTCATTTAGAGTTTAGAGCTAGTGCGTTGTTTCAGCTGCAAGCAAGGTTGACCTCAAATACCTGAATACGGAATTAAGTGAAACCAGTTTAATTTATAAAAATTTTGCAACTGGTCCACATCTGACTGCACCAGCTCTAAAGGAAGCGATTTCCGTCTGGGCGACACAACAATGATCAACTATTTTAGTCGTTCGTCCACAAGGGTTTGTTCTACAAATTGAAATTGTTTCAAAATTTTTGATAGCTTCACCAGCAGCCAACATTTAATAAAGATGTGTCAAGAGATAGTACAGAAATACTCGCTAATAGAAAAATGTAGATACTTATGAATGACCTGAGTCATGGCCAAAGAATGACATCCTTTCCCATTTCTCACAAGTAAAGTAGTCATTAGGGCGACCCTTCTTGTTCAAAATGGTATACGCTGGGCTACCTAATCCTAAATTAAATTATCTTGGGAATATCGACTTACACACGATGATGCATACATAATATTTTACAGCTCAGCATAAAAAAAATGACTGACTCCTACACTGCCTCACTTTCAATTTTGATGAGACTGTTGGCATATTCCGTGTGCACGCTAAGATCTTATCTCCAGCCGCAGTAGCAGTACGTACATGTAATACGATAACACAACTCGCATACAATTTAATTGCACGTGGGAGCAAGGCAAGAAATTAAAGACAGCATTGCATTATTGTCATAAAAGTAGTTCTTTCTATTGTTATTATGTTCTTACGATGGTCGAGCGAGTGCAGTTGGCTGTCGTCGACGACAAAAATGCATGAAAAACAAGACGACAAGTTTGTGAATTTGTCTTCATATTACAACGAGATTATCTGTGATTTATTCGACGAGTATTTTTTAAATGCCAGATTTCATGTCATCACATCTCAGGATTATTAGTCTTCACTGCTAATAACGGAGGAGATGCGACGAGCTTAAGCCATATATTATTGTGCTGGTTTCTGCTTTGTGATTTTGAAGCACAAGTCCAATGTTTAGTGTGAAGAAAGGCCCGGTATTATTGAACACATTTTAACTGTATGTGCACTAAATAATGGGAATAAAATGAACAATAAATTCAACTTACCGTTTATAATTTCCTGGCTCCCAGAAAGAGTCACTTGATGCCATCAGCATTCCTTCTTCACTGTGGTGTGACATCGTGTCTCCGACAACCTTCATGGCGAATAAGTAAAAATCAATGAAACACTGCCCTCAAAATTGTAACTAAATTGTAATCACAGTCTCGGAGACGATAATTAAGTTGTTACATAAACAAGATTTAATTTTATAGCTAAGAACAGTCACTCTAATCAACGAGCTCAAGCTCGAGCTTTGACTTGACGGATCAAAAACTAATTTGCTAATGGCTGTGATCACTCGATTTGTTTGCACTGTTTTGTATCTTCTCACTTTTGATGAAAATCTACAATGTTTAAATTAGTTTGATGACGATAAGTGGTATCGTTATTGTGTACGAGTGACGTTTGCAAAAAGCAGTATTAAGAATCTTTCCGAAGCACATTGACAGTTTTCAAACGATGATAAATAATAATGATGAGTAAGCACGAATAATGTAGGCAATCCTATTTTGTCCAAGGCTTAAATGTCAGTCAGCACTCCAAAATTGCTCGAAAATTTATAAACTTGCTGATTTAACCATTGACATATTTATGACACCACAGTAAACTGTCACCACCACACATCACCTACATTCCTACTGGTGATCGTATCGGAAAACTATCCCTGATGTCCTTTCACGAAATGAGAGACCGCGATGATGGATGTTGATAAGATAACCCCAAAAAGGGATTTATCAAATATCGCCTTCTCGTGTTTTGGTATATAAATAGAGATTGAAACAAGGCCCGCCGCCACAAACTGTACACAGTATCATTTGAAAATCGTGAGGGAGATTGGATAATTGCTATTTACGAATGATATGCAGAAAAAAGTAACGAACTCATGACCGACCAAAGGCTACGACTTAACTGACTTGCTGAGGTATTCGTCCATCATCATCCTCAATTTTGCGAAACATTCACTCACACGCTCATTATGCTGTGTGCGATTCACATTCCTGTATTAATTCCTCGCCTCCTAAGCTCTCCTTCAGTAAGTTGTTGCCATCATCATCATTGAACAAGACCAGAATTCGCACTTGTTCATTTTGTACGTATTTTATACTGCATTGGGATATATGCAAGAGATGCGTGAAGAGAGAGAGAGGTAGCAAAAATGGAAACAGTTAGATTTTCGTAACTGAAGCCAGTTACTTGATCTCCTCTCTTCGAATAAATAGTCTCCTCCACTACTACTCATGGGGAAAGATATGATCGTGTACAAAACCTGGTCTTGTGAGGCACCAGCTTATTTTCATATGCAGATAAGTACGCATATGTATGCATTGTAGTGAAGTGAGCATATATTACCACCAAAATTTACTTGGCATAAGGTTGTAAGGTGAGGATGCTGTTCAGGTAAATAATTTTTGGGTGCGGCTAAACACTGGTCTGGTCTCAGCCATTTTTTATTGCTAATAACCTTTTAGTCTGAAGAGAGAGAGAGAGGAACTTGGACAAACAAACGGAAGTTCGTTTTAGTCTCAATCCAAGTAATTAACCATTGTAATCTTAGGTTTAGAAAATGATGATACTACTTGGAGCAATTGTCGCGGTGCATTTTTCTTTTCAATTCAATAAATGTTGAAGCCCCAATTACGACATAGTTCGTTTTGGTTTTGATTATAAATGATTGTAAATGTGTATAATACGAGATGATGCGATGGTATAGAGCTAGTTAGTTTCGTCTTCTTCCTCAGTGTGAACCAACTAACTAGCCGAGGACCAAAGGCTTGTAAACTCAAGGAACTGTTCTTTATTTTTTCATCATCTTCTGTAACCATCCTGCAACAGCAAACAGGAAATTGCCCATTCTCTCCTTGTTCAAACCATGGTGAGCTGAGCGATACTTTGCAACATTGCTAAAGACTGTTAACTAACAAGTGGTAGAAGAACTTGCTGCAGGAATGGATAGATGTTATCATCGAACAATCTGCTCATTGCATTGTTGTTAATTTCGTCGATCAGAAGCTTTGGCATGGACCATTTGCTTATACCATCATCAGAGTCAGTTGGTTGAAATGCAAAACACGTACAACACACGCACACACGTTCGTCTTCTTCTTTCGGTATTTGAATTGCTCATGTAATAAGAATTGTTTTCTTGACCCGGGTGCATTGTTGGATGAAATTTGTAGCCAAGTTAAGCCATGTCGCCCTTCTCTGCATATGTAACTACATGTGTGCAAATAGCTATTCTGCTGCTTGGCCAATAATTATAACTGAACCAAAAATAATATATCCGAAAAACATGTTTCGGTGCTTTGATTGGTTATAAAATATATTTGTAATTATTACTTGTCATACCAAATCTTGCACGGTGTATGTATGAAACCGGCCTAAACTGTTTCTTAAAGGTATGCATTCTCGTCATAATTGAATTCTTGTATAATCTTTAAATAGTAATTTACATCTCCCACGTATGAAATTGAATTATAATTGTATAAATTGTAGTGTTGCGCAAAACTGAATTAATTTCTTCTTGGGGATGTGTAATACGAGGCTGCTTTGAAAAGGAGGAATTTGGGCGGTTGATTTCCTTCTGGCGTCTGCATAACTACTACATTGGGTGCAGATAACATATTCACAATGGGAAAACAATGCAAGATAAAATGGCAAACAATGAAACACCCTTGATCACGTCATAAAGTTTTGTGGATGGAAATAATCCACTGCTAGAAGTCAATCATCATCTGACATAAATTCAATAAGCAGTGATGAATAGCACAATACAAATTTATGTATATGGTTATTTACTGTCTTCACTAAATCTGGATTTTTTACTTGGCAAGGGCACAAGAATTAAGTCTTAAACACGAACAGAAACTCGAAGAAAACTTGAATGTGTACATGATCACAGACAGATAAATTACATCCTTTATCAACACTCGTACATATGCACAGAGCCAGCAAACGAGATGGAACAGAATGAAATGACATGAGTTTGTTAAAGATGAATTATTTAGGGATGGACGTGGTGGTTTTAACTTTGGGAAATGCCCGTAAATATTGGATTTGCCTTTGCTTCTCATCCTCAACCGTTTATTTCAACCCATAATCAAAAATCTCGGCAGTTGAGTGAGGAGATAATTACGAGCCATGAAATTAGGATTAGCTCAGGTTAGAGATAAGGTGACTGACAAATGATAAAACTTTACATTCATCTACAATGACTAATTATAATGTGAAGCCAACTGCCGTTACCAATTTGGAATGGGTTGCGTTTATGCTTAATTCGATTTGGTATGGGGCCATGTTCCAGATCACCTATTTAATAATATCCTAAATATATCCCTGTGTTTAAATATACAGTGAGTAATTACTCATGGTTTATATATTGTCTACAATATGCTCCATATTGTACTTTTGTACGTACGATGATGATTAATTATTGTCAGAGAAATTTTATTCTCAGTTTCTATAAACATGTAGAGTAAATTACGTATTTGCCCTTGTTATGTTAATCGCAATGCATAAAAATTAGATCATCATTTACGCATATTATTTCGAATAATTACAATCATTCCGGACGAATGATACCAATAATCCCTCTCATTTCATTCTGATTGACTTTTCTTATCGAATATGCGACATGACAGATCGAAAACAATTTTACGCCTACATATAAAAATTCCTCGGATGGGTCAATGATCAGTGCTATTGATACTTTTTCATGATAAGACCAACGATGAATCACAACGTACGCGTGGTGAGGTGATGATATCGTACATATTCATTACAATACTTCAGATTTCCGCCCAGATGAAAAGAAACTTCAATTACCAACTTATTGTGAGAGGAACAATGTATTTAATACATGGAGGAACAATTTAAGGTGGACATGGTACAAGATTTAGTCCTTGATTTTTTTTTGTTTCCTTCCGACTTTATTCATCCAACACGCAATTAAACCTGATATTTATAAGTACTACAAACTGGACAAAAAATGAAGCAATGAACTATATTCATTCCTAATTGCTGTCAAAATTACATCACATCCACCTTTCTTCATCTGACTATAATACCAGCATTATTCTTTACTGGGTTGTTGCAGTAACTTCCAGAATGTGACGCATGCAGTATTGTATTCAACACCCTTTAGCAAAACACAAGTAATGGCATATGAAATCAAACAATGGTTCATAAATAAAAACTACATCTTTATGGCGAATACCATACCAGCAGAATCAGAACTATGGCATGCGTTCAGGTAACCTTATTCGCGTTGGGTGAATATCAATTACGAGGAGATAATAAAGAACTAATCCGCTATTTTAAAAGGTTTGACTTGGAATCAATTTCGTAAGCGATCGCGGATGGGAAAGGAATGATAATATGACAGCAGGTGCGGAATCTGCTGCTCAATTTATAATATTGCAGACGGCTCATCAGTATGCAATTGCGAGAGTGATATGACTGGATAAAATTTCGATTTTGTAATGAGCTCTCTGAGTACGAAATGGACTGACTATATTATTTTATCATCATTTTTATTTGAAGAGTTGTAATATTTTGTATCGGGCTATATAAAAGTGATGTAAAGACGGGGCAGGTGAACATAAAATGCAAATATGTTCATGCTCGTGCGAGAGCTATAAAAGATCAAAACATGCAATAGGCGAATTGATTTACTTACGTATTAAATCGCCCATGGGCAATAATATGATCTGATTTTGAAGGGCTACCCCTTTAATTTGACACTGTATGAATTATGTAATTGGCGTGATTGATCCATGGAAGGTTACAAAATAGGAAAAATAGCTGCAGGGTTTTTGAGCTTTTATGCAATTTATTGTTATACTAATCTCATTATGTGCTTGTATAAATAAAGATGATGAAAAATCAGTGCAACTTAATGAACACACTTTTTTCCATAACTTATAATTTCCTGTCAGACGTTACACAATTTTTACATAAAACCGTAGGTTGTTATCATAAAATATATAAGTTATTGTGGAAATAATGCTACTCACCTTATAGGTAATTTCTCCAGATATTATCCTTAATGTCACAACCTCCCAGTAAAAACTAAGCGCACGTTACATCGAATGGAAAACAATAACACGTTTGCTAAAAATAACTCCTTTTCAGATCATGAAGAAGACAAAATTTCCCATCAAAAAATAAATAAAGTTATTTAATGTTCAGCAGAACACACGTCCACTTTATTAACCGACGTCGTCAACTCCAACCTTTGTAATGGTTTAATGCAAGCTGAGTGTCATCTGTTAACTTATTTAACTGCACGATAATCACCGACATTTACTCTTGTTCAAGTATGAACTATATAATATAGGAACCATCAAGGTGTTAAGCCTGGATGCTAAAGGAATGTAGGATTAATGTGACGACAATGCCGATAGTGTCAAATATTAAAGGATTTTATTGACTATTTTGGCAGATCACTTTTGTGAGACCTTGTAATGATTATCAATTCTGAATCCAGGTGTGTTTTGTAAATCGTAAAAATAAGATACGAGAGATAATTCTTCCTGTAATTTCCAATCCTCAATGCTTATGAGATCTTCTTCTTGACTTTACATAAATATTTCGAGCCGAACGCAAATCAATCCCTGTTATAGCAGAAGTAATTTTTCCTAATTTTTCACATTCCTTGAATCAAATACACGACAAATTCTTCAAGTTCCAATGATTCTCATAGTTCAACAACCAAAAGTTTACAATTTGTACTTTGAATTAAATATCCCAATTTTCAATGTTTTTTTCTCCCAAGTTATCGCCCACAAACAATGAAACTACACAATTGTTTGTTGCATTTAGTGCAATACAATGTCAAAAAAAACATCCGTGGGCTGATGAATGAAGGTCAATTTCGCCCACACAAATAAACCGTCGAACTTTCACCACCCTCTTTTTTAACGAAATAAATAAAATATACCTAATAACACATGGTTTCTATCTTATTTTATACTCACTAACGCAGTAATTACAATGGAGCAGATTTAGTCGGATTTTTTACACTCGTCTGTCATAAGAACAACAACAATTAGTTAGTAATGTTGTTTTTGACAACGGAAGAAAAGTTTAAATAGTTTTTTGTTAACAACAGAGCATCATCTCTTTCCGAAGATTCTTACACACTAAACACAATCCACACTCTGGTTTTTAACACTCTCCGTCCGAGCTACACTACTCCCTATATTTTTGGGCTTATTTACTTCTCTCGCTTCACATGCTAAGTGAGAACGCATACAAAATTTCGTTTTTCTTCGGTTGGAAAATGGAGTGTTTTTATCAGGAAATATATTCACTTGTTGGTATGCAAATGTTATATGTGCTATTCTGTGGGAAAATTGTCATTTTGCAGCTTCATGAGTTTGGATAAGGCAAAGTGCAGCATAGTAAAACTGTGATTGAGCTGGAGTCAAGTAAACTTGGCATTGGTTTTGTGATGGGAAAGCCTTTGGTGTAAAAATTGTAAGCAGATTGATATAGTAAGTGAGCAGTATGCGATGTATGTAGTAGCCTCTGGATCAGGTTTCTTGTCGTGCTGCCGGGGAAAGTGAAATTCATATGTGGAGAAAGTTGGTCTCTTCGAGTGTTAAAGTTTTTCAGGAGAGATGAAATTAGTAAGAAATTAGTAAGAAATTAGAAAGTTTATTTGATTGAGGGACAAAGTATGGAATAATTTGTGGTTCTTCATGTAAACGAAATTAAGGACAATGTTTGTGTACACGTAATTCGGGCTGATTAAGGGACATGATTGTTTGTAAAGAGATTGATAAAGCAGGAATCCGATTATTATTGTTTAGTTTGAATTGACTACCTACAAAAATGTGTATATATAGCAATTTTTTAACGTAACAAAAATCATTACGCCGTAGTAGTTCTGTGACTTTCACCGAGGTTTTAGTCCTTAAAAGTGGAGGTATGTCACTTTATTTTACGTTACAGAATGCAAATACTAATTTAACTTGGTAATCTACAGATTTCCTGGATAATTTACCAGAATGTCGGAAAATGTTGATTGTCCAGACTGCCAACTGCAACTTTTACAACAACAGCAACACCAATCTCAGAATCCACCCTTATCTTCCAATAATTCGATACCTTCGTCATCTTCCACGACCCAGCAAACCGCAACTCCTGATACTGCCTCGCTAGGTCATCGTTCCTCCATGGGTCAGGCTTCCGAAGTCGGCTATCCTCATATGGGGAAATCAACCCATTACACACAAGTAGAAAGTTCCAATCACCATTATCAGTTGTCAACGATTCATAACATCCGAACCCCATCAGCTTCTGGATTAAATATGTATCATTATGGGGGTGACTATGGATCAGGGTCTTCCATGTCAAATTCCTCCTCCATGCATCAAACAACGACATCGCTACAAGGACTTTCTCCCTCGGATCCATCCAACCCTTCTTCATCCATTCCCATGGCCATGACTCATACCGACCTTAATTATGGCAACGGGTCAATTGAGTCCTGTGACTACAACGGTTACTGTTCGACTTGTGCTGTGCTTGACCTCCCATCAAACGAAAAATACTATCACCGATCTACAAATCCCAGGACACATGTCTTCCCCCCAATTTTCTATTCACAAGGACCTTCTTCAGTGATTCCTGGTTTCTCTTCGATATCAGACTGGACGAATGGAGAGTATGCCAACCACTATGGATATCCAGTCCAATTCTCTCAGCCAACTGCTTCCACGGTGCCAGTGGGTCCCTCAAGTTCTGAGCTAGCCTACGGATCTGTGAGCCACCCAATGAGTCACACCCCCACCGGAACGAATAATCATCTCATGCCACCTTCATTTGATGTGTTCACCTCGCATAATACGTCTTCTTCGATGCTGCAGCATTCCTACCAAAATCAGAGACATGGTCATGGTCAAGTCTCATCATCAACCTCATCGTCGTCATCCATGCTGTTTTCGAGTGGCACGACAACGATAGCACATCCTCCAGTCGTCGCACACAACGCAACTAGTAGCAGCACCTCGTCAAGCCATAATAATAACGTACCGTCGCTTCATATAACTGACAATCCTAACAACAACAAGATGCAGGAATCACATAACTCCTCAAACGAAACGAAGCAGCTTTCTAGTCCGAAGCCGACTTCTTCTTCTGCCTGCTTTGTAGCATCTTCTCTTACTCCAACGAAACCAAATATTTCTAATTCAAATAACTCTTCACACCAGCACCACGCCGAGATTCTTGATAGCAGTGATGCCGAGTCTTCGGGTGACTCGGACTGTGACAGCAGTCTGGCCTCAGAGGACAGGGAACTTATTTCCGTCGTTGAGGAAGATGACGACGACGACGATGACGATGAGACTGAAAGCACGAGGGTTCGACCTGGTGGAAAGTGTTTCATTTGCCATAACCTAATTGAAATTACGGACTGCTCATCCCCACAACTGGCAAAAATTCTAGAAAATATTGAAGACGATATTGATCTGGACATGACTGGAGACATTGAAATTGGAGGAATGGAGGATGAGTCGAATCAGCAACAGTTGCACAAGAAGCGTCACGCTAGTGGACCTTATTCTGGAATGCTGAGCAGTTTCAGACTCATGACGCTTCTTGGACTCAGCTCTAAGAGCGCATTTGGACCAGAATCGGGTGACAATGATGTTGCAATTCTTTGTTTTCAATGTGGCAAACTCGCCTCCATGGCAGATTCTTTAGAACGCCAATTATCTGCAGCAATTCAGACTTTACATCATCAACTCAGGACCACGGCAGCAAACCTGGATAATTCCACAGAAGAATGCACACCGCCTCACCACCAAAGTCTTAATGGATTGGGCAAATCTACACAAGTGGAAGAGTGTGTTTCTCCGATAGAATTATTCCAGATTCATAGCAGTCTTCACAAAGAAGTTCAAACTGAGTTGATACAACACATAAGCTGCGGAACGCAAATTTGTCCAAGTAGTGCAATTACCACAGAGAAAGTTATGCATGCTGAGACGCAATGTTGCTCTAATGATTTCGCAATCCTCTCATTTGTTGACCAGAACTCGTACAATTGCCTGCCTACTTCCTCAACTAATGAGGAAGACTCTTCCCTCGAAGATTCTCAAGATTCAAGTGAACAAGATGACCCTAATTTTGATAGCTCAATTAGTTGTATCCATTCCAGTACCCCTCACAACACTGCTGAGGAATCTTCAGATAATCTCATTAAGACTATAGAACCATCACAAATTCTGTATCCTAACTTCTTGGCAGGTGAAAACAATGTGGAAGAGATGGTACCCCAACCTCAAAATTCCTCAAGCGAAAATAGCAATAACTCAACTTCATTGAACTCTAGTCAGTCCAAATTAGACGAATCTCAACCACTGAATAATATCGCTCTCAACAACACCTTATCAAAATTGGACAGTGGTAGAGAACAATATTTGAGTGAAAACAACCAGGAAATGAATCGAGTTCAAAATCTTTTTTCATGTCAAAGCTGTCATCGCATATTTAGCACCAAATCAAATCTTAGAGCACACATCAAAATTTGCAAAGCTCGATTATTGTTGGACCAAGAAGAGGTTGAGAAGATTAAAGATATGAAATGCATGGAATGCGGAGTTGGGTTTCGAAGCGTGTTACGACAGAGGCAGCACATGGAGCAAGGATGCAAACCGTTAAATTTCAGGTGTGACATGTGTCACAGGAGATTCGCCAAGTTGTCAGAGCTCAAATCGCACCTGTACGTTCACAGGGGCGAGAAGCCGTTTTCATGCGATAAGTGTGGGGCATCCTTTGCCACCAAAGGCAATCAAATAGCACATTCCAAGACACATTCGGAAGACAAAAAATTTCAGTGCAATCAATGCCAAAAAGGATTTAATAGGAAGTTTGCATTAACAGTTCATCTCAATTGTCATAATGGTAAGTCTAATCCTGATAGCTTTAAACCTCTATTCGTGTAGCCCGAGCCAGTAATATTGTTACTGTAACTTTTATCTCTATGGTTGAGCTTTGGTCGAAACTTATTTTGCATTTATGAAAATGAAACATGGGGTATGAAATGTCTGAATGAATTACTAAAATATAATTTTGTGATTTTTTGCAGGTGTAAAACCGTTTCCTTGCAATTTGTGTCCTTGCAGTTTTCCAGACCCGAGTTACCTCACGAAACATAAGAGAAAAGCGCATACGGAAATTGAGAAAGGAATTGTTTAGCTATATATATATGCAGATTATTATACTTTGAGAGATTAAACTCTGTTGTAATAAGGTGCCTGTACAACGGATAAGTGACACACTAATAAAATGTCTTATTTTTTCTAATTTGCAACTAAAATGTTCAACCGTCTAAATTCATCTACGCACGAGATATCCTTTATCACATAGAAATTATCGTTTATTTTCATAAAATAAAAAATTTATAGTCATGCATATCAGAGTTACATCATTCACATATATATAATGTCATTCTGTGAATTGACGTTCCTTGAGGAAGACAATCCCAAGACAATTATGTTGCGTCCATACATTCAAAACCCATTTCAGTCAAATCATTATAGTTAATATCTTTGAGCATGTCTTGCACGTCCTCAAATCCATTAAAGGATGCTATTGAGCTGAAACTTGTACTACTTGGAACTGGAAATGAAAACAAGTTATTGTAATTAATATTATCTATCACTAATTTGCCGTTGTCTTTCATTTTCCAAATAGTAAAAGCAAACTTACATGCAGAACACACATTGTCGAACGAATTTGCATTTTGGGAAGGTTTCATACTTCCAAAATTGTCTTCCAAACTAAAAATATCTTCAAGCAAGTCTGATGGCAATTCATGAGATTCTTCAACGTCTTCCTTCAACTGACTATACTGCATCTGTTCATAATACATTATTTGTAATCAGCATTTATATAATATTTATGCATTCAAGAAATGTAAATTAATCTTGCATTATCATTTCCCAAAGGGGTTCTCAGTCCAGTTGTTGGTTTCTGAACCATGGGTAGAAACTTGGCTCCTCTTTCTTCTTCAGTTAATGGATGAAAATACGTGTGCAATTTGTTTTGATCCGTTTTAGGATCAACTTCAAAATTTTCCAAATCGGATGTATCATCACAATCAAAAATTTGTGAATACTTGCGTCGAAGAAGTGTCGTATGCTGGATGGACATTCTAATTCCTTCCAATACCGGATTTAGAGGAGGAGGACTGGGAGCATTAACCAATTCTATAACTCTCCTTGGTGTTGTCGAGAAACGCACGGAAATCGTAGCAATTGGTCCAGGATTTGCCTTCATGTTTTCCTCGCTAATCTGCTCCGGTTCCTCATCCTGCTTTTGGCTTTTAAAAAAGAACTGCAAAATTGAAGTCTGCTTGATATTTGTTCTGTAAGGAAGGATTTTCAAATATATTTGTGTACAAAGTAATATTTGATACATTATAGATTATGAAAGCAATTATGTAGGTGTGTACCAATACCTTTGTCTCTTAACTCTCGTTTTCTTATCCTGCACTTCAATCACGACATCGCTTGTACTTCTATAGCTATGCCCAGAAATTTTGCATCGTTTCAACGGTACGAAACAGTCCTTGAATGGAATTTCCTTTTCAGGGGTGACGTATGCGAACCTGCCCTTCCCCTTGGACACGACGAATGACTCGAACACGGTCTTGGTCTTCTTTTTAGTAACACCTTGGCCATGACACTTCAAATAGTCGGGGACATAATCGAGGCTAAGCTTGGAGGCGATTTGTATGGGGACGAAGGCAGTGGCACTGGCATAAAGACTCTCTGACAACACCTCAAACGCGGACCTGGCTATGCGGGCACGTTTCTTCCCGTTTGTCAAAATTCCCAGGTTATCAAAGAGGACGATGTTACCGGCAGCGTAAAGCATAGAATAGCTGATTCCTGCCCAATTTATTAATATTTTATCTTTCTGTTAGTTCATGGGATTTGAAGTATTATGCAACAAGAAATAAATATGAACAGCTTACGTTTCTCTAGAACAACCCCCTTCACTTCAGCCTGAACTTGTTTAGGCTCCGACATTGCGACCAACATTCAAGAGAGCAAAAAGTGAACTATTGCGACAAGAAGTGTCTTTCAGGAAATGAAGACTAAAACTATTTAAAGTGACGAAGATGTCCTTACAAATTATCAACTTCTTAACCAGAAAGCTAACATATATTTTTATTCTCGGTCAGATAAAATCAAAATGAAGATAATCTAATGTATTCAAAGGCTGTATCGCATTCGGTACGAAAGCACCAATAAATAGGATTACATACAGGTTTACATACTTTCCTGCATACCTTTGGTCCAAAATCTTAGTAAATATATCATACAAACCTTATTCCTAGCCTGCAGTATGCATAAAACCAACCTTCAACCACATTTACATTAATATGCCATCGAATCCAAACAATTTGCATGTTCTCCAATTCAGCGAGCAAAAATGAGTCGAATTCCATACAAAAGAGTTTTGTCTGTGATTTTGTCTCATGCATTCTCATGCATTTCTCCATTGACTCCAACCTTCCTGATTAGAAGGCAGGTAAGCACTACCAGGAAAGAACCAGATTTCTTCTTCATCATGAAAATTAACCATGTAATGTTCACTTATCCACTTACCGCACTTATCTTATCCTCACCTAATTACCTTCCAAGCTCCAATCTAGGTTTTCATGGACCAAGAAAAACGTCTCGCAGGCTGCCCCGAGGAGAGCAGAGGGGAAAACTGCAGGGAATTGATCAATCGTCTTTTCTTCTTGTAAACTTGATCATCACATCATCATCATCTCCAGCAGCAGCAACTCTGCTCTGCTCTCTCGTATCCTCCATCCAGTTGAGAATACAGAAAAGTAGTGGCAGCAGCAGCTGAATGTTCAGCTCGGCTCAGAGGTCGATCGGTCGGTAACAAAAAAGCCCCATCATTCTCGTCATTTTTCATCCCCCGCAACTACACCCACCGCAGGGAGACAAAGGTACGTGTAATTTGCACAATAAGTAACATCTCTGGCAGAGATGCAATTCAGAGGAGACGATGAATGTGTAATAGCACCTATTTTTTGTGTACTTTAGGTTGTTGTTGTGTGTGTGTGTGGTGGTGTGGTGTTCAATTGACAGCGGGGTGGGTTCAAGGTCGGACAGGTATTTGGTCTTTGTTGCGCCACAGTTACTAAAACTAAGGTCATAGAGGACGACGAGGGACACCATTGAGTGTCGGTTCTTCGAGTAGGACGAGTTTTCGATTTGCTTATCATTAAGGCGAGGGCGAGATGCCAGGAATACAGTGTTCGTACGGGGACGTGACGAGAGTGGACGTTCCAATCCCGTTCTTCTTGAGGGAATCGGCATTCCTTGATTTCGACAATGAAAACTACTCGTGGGAGGCGGATGAAGATATCACTGTGTTGGTCAAGTGCAGTAAAAGGCCTGCACCTAAGACATCTCCAAGGTGAGTAATTAAGGAAAGGAAATTGGTTTTATGAGAAGAGTGATGATTATATCTGCCGTCGTTTGTATTTTTAGGGATGATTTAGATGCTTCTGAAGCATCAAATATTGGAGGGTGTCCTCTCGAGTGTCCCTTTGACCCAAATGAGAATTTTGAAGGGACAAATAAACCTATAGGGCCACCTCCAGTGTTTCATGGGTTGGACTTTTCAATGGTTCAATATGAAGCGATGGACCTTCCCACTTGCCGGTAATTGTATAAATTAATGCAATTTCTTGTTAAGATAAGAAATCTGTCAGAATTGAGGTATTGAATGTTTTATATGTATTATTTGCCCTAACTAATTATCAGGGGTTTGGTGAAGAAGATCTATGAGGGCGATGAAATTACCGTGCACAGCCTGTGCTTGGACCAGGTGTCGGGCAAGCTGGCATACACCACTCCAATTTACGTAGCTTGCGATGGATCGCCAAATGCAAAGGACCTTGTCATGATTGGTTTTCACGATGAAAAGTTCCTGGAATTAAGAATGATGGGACCTTACAAACGGCAGTCTACTCAACTTAATTTGGATCTCTTTCTCGCATATCATCAGCATCTTCCAAATGTGGTGAGTGACAAAGTGTGGAAATATATATGATCAAGAAATCGTTGATTAGTGCTTGTATGAATTTCATTGTTTTTTTATTGCTTTACTAGAACCCAGTGTCCGTAACTCGCCAGGTTCATGCGGTCTACGAAAAACTTCACGGCGAACATGTATCGCAAGGAAAAGTTTTCATGGAGTTCTTATGGAATGATCCAAAGTCACTGTTCGAACCACCGCCAACTGATAGCGCTAGTGCTAAATTGGTAGGTCATTTCATTATATTTATTTCATTCGTCTCCTTTAATGGGAAGGGGAACCGACCATTATGCTACATGTATATTTTCATTATTATTCCAAATCAAAAATTTAGGCCATTCAACCCAGACCGGGTGACGCAAATCCGTACTTACAAAAGCTCTGGGAAGAAATCGCAGGCTTAGAGAAGCTCCTTGATATGTGGGACTCGACTAAAGCCAGCGAGGCAGATAAAACCAATTTGAGCTGTTCTATCCTTGGAAGTGAGTCTGAGGTAGCTTTAGAAATGCACAATTTACTGAGTCTTCAAGCTGGTCCAGCGTGGAGGAAAGGATGTGGTATGTTTGCAATTGGTTTTGCTAAAAATTCATTACATTAATTAATTAATACCCGTGCTTAAAATAGTGTATAACAATTTATCAGCAGAGTATTCAGATTCAATGGACGACGCTCTTCAGAAAGTTGCTACCGTCGATCGGCATGATGTGGATTTTGTGGATAGAGTGTGGAATATCCTAAGAAGTAATAGACATATAATCTAAATTGTTATGAAAATTTTGAGGAAACTAATGATTTTATTACCAGATACCGCTTCATGGGATGATTTGATTGAGTGCTTCCATGTCATGTTCAAAGCTGTTGAAGGAAAGATGTATCGACCATATGTAAGCATGAATACAATAATATATACCAAAATCTCTGGCATCATAAAGCAGGAGGAATTATTCGAAACACTCTACGTTAATTAATTAATTTTAATTTTATATATTTCAGCTGCTCCCATCCAACCAGTCGCTTCTCAGTGAACTACTGAAGGGGGTTATGACAAATCAAATCACAAATTACAGAGCCAAACTAAGCCCATCATTGGTCGTTGAAGTTGCTTTGGATTGTGGACTACATAAGCTTTATAAGGACTACGCATTCATCCTTGGGAGTAAGTATATGGTTGTTGCTTATAGTTTAAAAAGCTATCATGTTATAAACAATTTATTTAATTCTGTTCGTCTTCTCGAAATAGCTTGCCATCTCATAGAACCTCGTGATGCCAAGGCTTTCCTTCCTCAACGACGTTTGTACAAGGAGTCATTGCAGTGCATCAAGAAGCTGCACTGTATTATGGAAGTTTTATGTCTTTCTCGAGAGAGGTTGTCCTTGGCAATGACTGAACAGGAAATTCAAACTCGAAAATTACTTGAATATTTCGCCAAAAATCCATTAAATTGGGACAAAACTTTTCACTTCGACATTCCCATGAATACAATCTCTCCGATACTCACAGGGTATTTAAATAAACATTACAGAGGGTTATATCTGATGGAATATTTAACTATTTGTCCTTACTCCTATTGTTCTTGCGTTTTTGTTTAGTTTGCATCCAGTTTACTGGAATCTTAAGTTGGAATCCAGCACTGCCCTTCGTGTTGCTCGCACAAATGCGGTACTGGCCCGAGATTTCTTTATAGGTCATGCGAAGAAGTTTTATGTAACTGGTGAGACGTTTGTGATTGTAATTAATACATAGAGTTGAAATATTTTGTTAAATTAAATCATATTTATAATTGTTTTATTTTTAGCCGACGGGACTATGCCTCGAGGATACTACCTTTACGTTCATCGAGTTGCTCAGCGTAAAATGTGAATTCTTCGGCTTATTAGATAAACAAAATTCATCGTCCGTAATAAATCAGCCAATCTAATTTTTTCACTTGTGGATAGGAATCCCTTGTTTATCTATTTTATTCAATGTATATGCTTTCAGTGTATTTTTGTTTTTGTTTACAATTTGTTAATTTCTTCAACTGTATTCGAAGTTATCGCTTTCCAAATCATGTCACGTGTTTAAAAATGTATTTGTCGAAACGTGGCTCAGTATATGATGTGCTATGATTATATATATGTATGTATGATGCGTGTTCAAATGTTCTCGTAACAATTTTGCAAATACAACGGCCAAGCGCACAATACAAAATTCAATAAATCTTAGGCTAGTCGTTCGTACTACTACAACTTCAATAGACTACTTATCCTTAGAACTGTTACTTTGAATCTACATAGAACAATAATATGTAGTAATGTCGTAATAACTTTAGCTCGTCTCGTCAGCGAAAGCCTTAATATTGAGACGGATTTTTGTCTCCTCTTCCATGCTAACATTATTAGATACCGGTAACACATGAGGTATGTACAATTCCTAGAGGAAAACCTACCCTCGCTAATATGTATAAGTAAGTAGAATAAGATATGCACTTCTTCGAAAGTTTCCCATTTACAGTATTTTATAAGGTTGGCGCTGTGGAGTAATTTTTTGTATTCAGCATTTCGATTTCGACTACTACGTACAATTATAAAAAAGTAACATACCTGTACAGACTTTTAATAAATTTTGTGTCTTAAAGTATCTGAAATCCAATCTTCTCCATTAATTGATTTAACATTTTGTTAAATTCATTGTTATCTCCGATCTCACGTCCGGTTTCATAAGGTCACAATGCATCTCACATTCTAAATTTAATCCAAATTGTGTATTGATGGGACCAAAAGTGCAGAATATATTTATAGACTCGGTTTAATTGTAGGCAGAAGCGGATTCCATATAATTCTACTGAATAAATTCCCACAAAGAAGTTTGGATGAAATGCTGCAGCGAAGTTTGTAAGTCCTGTCAATGGCGTTTCGTGCCAAAATGACACGATATGTGTCGTGATTAGCTGTGTATTATAATGCCAAATTTTTGCTAGTAATAATTAATATACGTACGTATAAAACTTTGACATGTGCATGTTCGCCCTTGAGATGCGATGTTCCAATTCCGAGTATTGTATTTGTTAATAATTTTGTTTATGTCAAAAATTATATGCCTGTGTAAAAAACCACAAACTATGCACTAGATCTGGAGGATTTTAATTTAGCAAAAAAAAATCTGCGAGTTGTTCTTCCCCAAATAAGCTATCACACACCAACGTGCGGCAAATTTTCATAATTTTTCTTACTTATTTTTGAAATCATGGGCAACATCTCCAGGATCATTGTTTCTGTGATTTTTATTCAATTGTTACATTCAAGACTTGGAGCTGCTTTTGTTTCTCAACCACCTACAATTAAAGTGACAGCGAATGTCAATGGCCGATATTTTGGTCCCAGAGTCGCTGAGGATAACACCACAAACAACTCCCATCTCACCCAACAAAACGACAACACTTACATCGTCCCGTCAGCAATGGGTCAAATTGTGATTGATTGTAACGCTTCCTATCCCGTTATGTGGAATTTGGCAGAGTCTGATGTAGATAATTTTTTCATATAAAATACTTGGCCCGAAGCTATAAATTCATAGGATGAAAGTATAAATTTTACTATTTTTGCGTAGATAAACTCTGAAATGTTCCCGTATGTACATGTCCGAACAAGAAGGTTTGCATCAGATCTCTTCGACGCCACTACGTTCAACTATTCTACGCAAATAATTTTAGAAGGGCCATCGAGCACGCACAGATTTACGGGAAATTATTCTTGTCAGAATACTGCGAAAAGGAATATTCGCAGCAATGTTTTCATATATTGGGAAGGTGCAGTTTTAGGAGCTACTCGCATCAGTCAGAGTTTGACGTGTAATTTTCATCTCGTAATTGAATTGTCTTTCAAATTTTGCAGGAACTTCATTAGATACTTTGGTCCACTCTAGGGAAACGATAACCACATATTTGGATAACACTGGCAAGGTGACGCTCCCGTGTGGAATTTCCAACCCTAAGTTGACCTTTCCAAAGCTGAAGAAACAGGTGGACAGGAACCAGAGAGGGGTCAGTCCTTCCTTCCGATATCTTAGGAATATGGGCATGCACTAATTTTCAATTATTTTTTAAGCCTTTTAATGAGATTCCATTGAACAAATCCGTGACGTACAATCCAGCAACGGGATTTACACTTTCGTCTCTACCCAATCCTCTTGGGGTGTATAAATGCGTCATTGACGAAGAAACAACAGAGGACATTGTGACCATTCTTGTCAAAAATTGTTAGTTGGAGCAAATCACTCAATCGTTCTATTATTTGTGGGGTAGAGGTATTTTAAACAACTTTTTACATTATGTTTCTAGTGACCTCCAAGATGACCAGGAAACAAAACGTGACGTTTACATACAACCAGGAAACCAATGAACTAGTTTGTTGCACGGGAGTTGGGAGGCGAGCACCCAACATATTTATGATGCATTGTGACCACGCAGTGACATGCCAGTATCGAGAGCATATTTTGCAACCGGTACAAATATTCATAACGCAATTTTAGTGAGAGTTGATTAACTAAACAGAACGTTTATTTCCAGTATCATTATGTTTTCCAACGTTCTTCAAAATCTAAAAATTGTGCAAGCAAAACTGTTCGTTTTTATCACACCGTCCTCGTGCGTTGCGTCGGCGATGGGATTGACGAGTACAAGGAAATGATCACCCCAGTCAAAACGTCCTTTAGTCCATGGGCTTTCCACAACAAAACCCTGAAACCGAAAATATGTAGTGTTTATTTGATTCACAAAATTTTACAAAACTGAACTTTTATAAAATTTATAAAATAGTTTTCAGTTGGGAGCAAATCGAATCTCAGGAAATGGTAGACTTGGAAATTCATCCGCAATCACAGTCGTACAATCGTTACGATTACCACTCCCCCTCTGACAGGAACAATATGGTTTTGTACAACAATGAAACGGTTGAGGTAAGTTCATAGCTACTTGTTTATTTTGTCTAAAAAAATAAAATGTAATTGCAAATTTTATAATTCAGGTGACATGCACTACTTCTCAATATTACTTTTCTGAAGGAAATTATTGGGTTATACGCTGGAAGAATAAAACATTGACAGCCGTCACAGGTGCAATTGAAAAGTTTTTGATCAATAAAAGCCGTAGCCTTTATTTCATCGTAATTTTTTGCAGAGCGAAGTAGCCTTCAACAATATCACTATTTGTTGCAGTCTGATGTTTTATCGTACACTTTGGATCCTTCAATGGAAGCTATACTCTGTTTTGCTCCCGTCTGGAATTCTTCCGTGTGGGTAATTAAGACCCAATTTCTATACGTCAATGGTAAAGTCACACATGAAATGCAGTACTATGCAGAATATTGGATCTTTATTTGGATGATTTGTAGAAACTGAGAAACCAAGTTTGCTACAAAATGAGACTCTGTTCTTTACATGGGTAACGAACGAGACGGCCAAAGAGATGATTTGTGAATCAAAAGGTACTCCAGACCCCTCAATCACCTGGATGCAAGGAACTACGGTACAATTTAACAAGCTAAATGTAAACTACCGACTAAGTAAGTTTCATAGTTCACGATTGCATATGTATTTCAGGAAATCAATTCCAATTCACACAACTACAACGTCACTACAACTTCCACCAAGATAAATAATACCAACGTCGTTAAGTCAGTCCTAAAAGTTTTACGAGTGTCGTACTCCACTCACGGGCAATTTGTTTGCACTTCGTCCAACTACGGGGGGTCTATTTCGAGGTCGTTTAGCATCACAGTTACGGAACCATCATCCATGAAAACGGCAACAATCCTGTTGATTGTTTCCGGAATTGTAGTTCTGATCCTAATCGTCCTGATTATCGTGGTAGTAAGAGTAATGAAATTAGATCAAGCGGCCATCCAACATTTGTCATCGGTGCATTTTAAGGATCCTGCTACCAGAGAGCACGCTGTTGGTGCGGATGTCGCAAACACTACGTATGACAATGGCAAATGGACCAATCAGCTAATTAGCTAATTTGTTATTACATACATGTAATATTTCAAGTAGTTCGTCCATGTTACATATTGAATCGATATAGCTTCTTAATAAACACAATGTGTATTCTAAAACCATCTTTTGCCAACTTCCACCACATTTAGTTCAACTATTTACATTTAGAAACCATTATGTTCTGAAATTTAACCTATGTACATATTGACGCATATGTATTAAACCTTCGAGATCTGGATTATACACGTATTGTATGCGTAAATGCCTTTATTCGTAACAAATAGATTAAAATTTCATTGCATGTCGGTCCCATTGTCAATATAATACAGTCGTCATCATGTTTAATGTGCATCATACTTGTCCGAATTTGTCCAGAGTTATAAAATGATCATGGTCAGATCTTGCCATAGATTACGTAGGCACAAACTGCTTCCGGTTTCGACTTTATCATGCAACCCAAACCAAATGGTTCGACCCATTCATTGACGAATTCCAGATCACATGAAATTTTCATGCTGACAATGATCGTAGTTTTTATCAAAGGAAAGTAATGAAAGCGTAATGAAGTAATTTAGTACATCAGAGGGATTCCTTCTATTCCTTCAATTTCATGGTGACTGGAGAAGTGTTGACATATTTGCGGAAACTTGTTATAATTTCCTATATACAAAATAATACATAGAATTAAAGACATGATGGGAATGCTTCGTAGTAACTTCTTATTGGTGCAACTGGTTGTAGTATTTGTGATTTGTAATAGTTCGTCATGTTCGGCATGGGATTCACCAAAGATAACCTTGGACGGGTTTGCCCTAGCGGACAGTTTTCTGACGTGGAATACCAACATGAGTCTGATTCCACTGGGGGCAGGGAGTAATGACACCGTGTTTGTCGTCCCTTCAAGTATTCGAGGACTTTCTCTCTTGTGCAATGCGTCCTATCCAGTCGAATGGACTTTTCACAGAGAAAAGTGGAATCAGCGCACCACATGGCAAACTGTGCTCGTCAATTCAAGGGGCTCTGATCCAAAAACATTAGAACCCTTGTGGTACTCCGTGGAGCTTAGATTTCTTGGTCACAATGTAGAAATTACGGGAAATTACACGTGCCAAAAGTATGGTCAAGATTTGCCTTCAAAGAGCGTTTATATTTTCTGGGAAGGTATGTACTTCTCCATGATTTTATATGCATTTGTATTTAAACTTAGCAAAATTAATTTGCATGCTAAACCTTTAAATACAGGTTCGAGTCCTCCATATTTGACAATGCTTGCGGCAGGAACTCACCGCAGGACGATAACTTACAATTCGAATACGTCAAACACTTTTGTAATTCCATGTACGGTATCGCGCCCCGATATTGTGGTCCAACTCTACAAAGACGTAAGTTTTTAGATGCACATTGAAATTTGTGATGGGTATTTCCTAATGCATAAAATTTTAATACGTAGAACCAAACGGCAGATTTGACGAATAGTGACAACGTCAAGTTTAATAGTGCAGTCGGATTTACTCTTGTCAACATGAAAAATCCCTTCGGAATTTATAAGTGCATCGTTGGTTTGCCTGATGATGAAGATTCTCTCGAGTTTGAAGTGAAATCTGGACCAGGTAGACTTGCCATAAACATAATTGTGACCTAAGATAATTATTGTAACGCAAGATTTGAGGAAATGATAATTAAACTAAAGGAACGCCAACTCCGGAATTTGAAAATCAACTCTGGGGCACTGCTTCATTTACATTTGACGCCCCGAAACGCCAATTCGTTTGCTGCTCCAGTAATAAGAATAAACCACCAAAAATTGCACATTTCTATTGTAGTCACCCGATTACGTGTAAACTTCAGAAACATGCGCTGCATAAGGTATGCATTGCATTGCATTTCATATCTTTAATTTATAAATCTACGAGTTTTTTCTATGCATATTTGTAGATTGAAACTGCATCACACAAGTCGACCTCAGAAAATTGTGCGTTTCTTCCCTTGCGAATGCTTATGGCAGGAGTACTGCGGTGCAAAGGGGACAGCATCGACATTGTTCGTGAGTACTTTTTCCCCATGATGCAGCCATATCAACGCTTTGGCCAAAGATCAAACATAACAGTGACGCCGTGTAAGTAAATATTCCACTAAATCCTGCATTAAATCGATAATACTCTTTCATTGTAAAGTGTGTATCATATTTCTTGTATCAGATTCAAGCTGGGCGATGGCTGACCCTGAGTCAATGATGATTTTGACCAATATGACCGATACTTTTTACGTGGGGGAAACGAGACGCTTTGTTTGTCGAGCGTCAAAGTTTTTCTTTTCCCAAGGTATTCATTGGACGCTTTTCTATGAAAATGAAACAATTAATGTTCAAGGTAAACAAGTTGGTTTCTTATTTATGAGAATATTTATTTCCATTTACTGTAAGATTTCGATTTTGTTATTAGGGAATCAAACTCGAAGATCAAAGAATCATACGTACGGTATATTTCAGGATGGAAATTATGCCATCATAGAAATTCAAGCAGATATTGGGCTTAAAAAAGTAGTATGCAATGCTCCCATCTGGAACACAACGGGCTGGGCAAAGAAAACGCTACCATTTACGATTGCATGTAAGGATTAAAAAATGTGCATGCATTGGTACAATATTTTAATGCATATTCTTTGAAACATGAGATTAGACCCCACTGCTCCAATCCTTAATGGATCAAGCAATGACGAAGAAATTACTTGGCCTACAAGTTCAAAAAGCCAATTACTCACGTGCACTTTTAGTGGAACACCCAAACCGCGTGTGACTTGGACAAGAAATGACAAGGTGAACATAGTAAAACAAGAAGTCATTTAAATATTTTGATTAAATTAAAAATTGTGCTTATGCTCAGGTTATTCGTGTGGGCGTACGAACAAATGACAGTATTTCATACTTGAACGTCACAAGATTTGGCTTTCCGCAAGCAACGTTTGCTTGCAACGTGTCCAATGTGGGAGGATATGTGACAAAATCTTTTAAAGTGACCATTTCAGGTACAGATTATATTGAATGAGTGACTTGGTGCAGAAACTCAGGAGGAGAGTACGCCAACCTGATAATGACAGATCTTGATGTCCTTTGGATATATGGTAGTACCCCCTCTGAAAGTAAAAAGTGTGAAGCGGTTTGATGCCATGGCCCAATTTACGCCCGTCACACCCCTTTGAAGGCGCGCCCGATGCCAAACTAGCTGCACTAAAAAATTCGCCAAAAATCCAATTTTGTTCGGATTTTCATAATAATTATATATTTGTGATCCCAGATAGTCCCTTTATCATATTCAGTTGCAAAATTAACTTTTCAGAAATTTTCAATATTTTCGAATATTTCCTGAAAAGGGCATGGCTTGAAAAAATTCAAAATTCCAAAAAAGTTCAGATTGATATCAGATATGATAAAGCAACTATTTGGGATCATAAATATGTAACTATTATGAAAATCCGAACAAAATTGGATATTTGGCAAATTTTTTAGTGCAGCTAGTTTGGCATCGGGCACGCCTTCAAAGGGGTGTGACGGGCGTAAATTGGGCCATGGCATCAAACCGCTTCACACTTTTTACTTTTAGAGGGGGTACTACCATATATCCAAAGGACATCAAGATCTGTCATTATCAGGTTGGCGTACTCTCCTCCTGCAACGTTTACACTCCTATTTCCAGATGGGCTGCCGGTATGGAAATCAATCATGTATGTTTTTGGAGCTATCATAATTTGTGTGGCCTTGGTCGGCGGGAGTTTTGCATTCTGGAAAGTGAAACAGCAGAAAGAAGCAATACGACGCTTGGCGCAAGTGGCGTTTAAAGATGTGAATGCCGTAGCTGCAGCAACTCAACAACCGTCGTCCGTCATCGCCAACGTGTCATCTGACGCACAAGGCGAAAATGGTAACAGCAATGGAGTGGTCCATTCATTTCCATTCTCGGAAGGAAATACCGCCCCGGAATTTGGAAGATATCAGAAAATGTAGAAAGAAATACTTTCTCCTCAAGATTTGGCATTGACGCTCATAAAAAATGACAAATAATAAAAATGGCGAAAAGTTATTGTTCCTTAAATTTCATTTCTTATAATTATGTGATTAACCCGGTCACCGCTTTATTTATTTTAATTAGGCCACACAGAGTAATTGGACAAAAAATGACCTTTGACACTGTTGGTTTATCAATCTTTCTGATCAATCTTTTTAATTTCTTTTGATTCAGTTCCTTGCTGCTCTAACAAGTCCATGACTTTTTTATAAACAAGTTTATCTGCATCTTTCGCATACAAATAATCAATATGAGTAAACTGCGTATCGTTTATCTTGATGGATGTTTCACAATTGGGCAACTCGTTTTTCAGTCGTTTCACGCCCTATGAAGTAAGTTCAACCATTAATTGACTTAATGAGTAACTGCGTTTATGTACATACTTTTGGATCGCATAGGACATCATTTTCTGACCAAAATATGGACACTGGAGCTGTAACTTTCTGCAATTGAAAAATGCATTCATTCATCAACAAGTTACGCAAAATATGCAACTGATTAAAAATAATTATAGGAAAAATAAGTCTAATTTAATTACACTGAGTTTATAAATTGGCGGATTCATTTGGCCATATTTTTGGATATTTCCTATCATTCCATAATCGTATTGCCTGAATTTTCCAGAATGTACGCTCTGAAGAAAATGGATTGCGGATTTGGTGGAACATGTAGATGGTGCATGTGCCAAAATTACGGGCATTTGCGTCTAGAAATGGAAACAGTGGTAAAATATACTCTGAAAATAATTATAGTTAGTCGGTCCATAAACGAACCTCGTTCATCTGACCAGGATTGTATCCTCCAATTGCATACATGATATTGTCACAAATTTCTGTTGTAAACGTATCGCTCTCAGTGCATGCAGAAGGTGCAAATTGATGCATGTACTTCAAAACATAGTCCGGTAAGATTTCCCCATTTCCGAGAAGGTCATAAATAAACTTTCGTGTTGAGAAAAGTATTTACAAAAAAAACGATTAGCGTCAAAATTATGGCAACAACTGTAGCAAATTTATATTACCTTTTCGATTACACCAAATCGAGCCATATATCTCAAAGGGCTTTTCATCCCCTCCAGATGCACCGCAGGTGCCAAAGCTATCATTTTCCGAACCTTTGCATTATACTCTGGTCTCAAGGACATTGCTACAAAAAACGCCGTTGTTCCCATAGAGTGACCCACATAATTAAGCTCTTTCAGACCCGTTGTTGCCAAAATATAGTCAATTGAAGCAGGAATATCATATTTCCCTATCTCGTGCCAACTGTTTGACAATATAATTTTAATAAGGACTTAACTAATCATATCTCAATTTTAACGAGAGCTACAAACCTGAAATCCCAAAACGCAGATTTTTTTGGAGTCATCGCAATATTCCTCTTCGAATATCGATTTCCTCTTGCGTTTGCTGTTTAAGTAAAAATTCACAACAATTGCATGCGAACTGTGTGAGGTTTTCATAAAAATGGCACCATTTAAATACCACTTACCCATCCAGACATCATAGCCAGCGTCAGCAAGCATGTATGCTGTAAATATGCAAGTAAATAATCATTATAAAGTAACTAGCAGCATGCAACTCATACTTTATATATTATTACGAAGTGCTTTATCCGCAGTATTCATAATCCAATCCACTGATGAACTACATAATCCGTGATGAAGCAATGCAATGGGCTTCTTCTCTCCAGCTTCTTGTGTACCACTTGATGTGACATTATTATCATTATTGCTGAGGGAATCTGCGTGGCTTGGATGGTGCTTCCTACCAAATGGTATTCTGTGTAAGGTTAGGACATAGTTGTCGTCTGTGTAAAGAGTATAAATATTAATGGCCAATGACTGAATGAGCTGAACTTGCCTTCCCTAACCTGTGTAAACGGTATGCGTCTCAACTGGAAATCCGTACTTCTTGATAAGTTCGGTCTGTAAGAGCAAATAAGTTTTAATCGAATGTGTCAAATGTGTCACCGAACTCTAAAAAATGTTCTTACGTACCACATTCAATTTGACATCCGGATTCTCTTCCTTCTTCACGGTTTCAGCCACAAATGCAGCATCGTCATAAACGTCAAATGCCAGTCCCATTCTCATCCGGTTCCAATATTCACTTCCCAGAGAGAAAAAGTCAAAACTGTTGTCTGCAGGTTCTTCATCTGCTGATTTGACTAAATTTGGAAATCCTACCAGGGTGAGAAGCAGTATTGAAGAAATCGTAATCACTTTGGAATTCATAATATCGTGTATTGATCTTGGTAGCTAATTTAGTTTAGTTGATGCCCTTAGAGATTGGGAACTACACAAACTTGTAGTGTTTGCAGTCAAGTTGAAGTCACAGATAAATCATACAAGTGTTGGTCTCACTAAGCACTCGGACAACAAAAGACTGAATTTTTTCATGCGCATCACGCCGTAATATGAGAACTTCTTACGTGTGGGAAATATCTTTAGGTGGTGACTAAGCAATTTATAACTACTTTAGGTTTTATAGCCCTCTTTTCTCCTGATAGTGAGGTGGGGATGATAATGTTGAATAATAGAAGCGACCAGTCTCAATTTCCACTCCGAGTTTTTTTCAGGGATTATAATGCACAAGTTTACTACTGCGTTGCACGTTCTATTCTGATGTTTCATGAATGAATGTATAATCCAACTGATCAAACTTGTCAGTCCACATTGATGTTTGGACTGGAAATTTGTGCTATGGAACCATCAGAGAAGGATGATGAGTCAGCGGTCAAGGTTTCAGTTTGTGTGACTTTGCAGTCTTTACTATACAAATAATTCATGTAATTTAGAAGATTATTATTATAGAACCTGGCTATAGTCATAGTGGGATTAGATGATGACAAAATGCAGCGGAAATTCCAGTACAGTGATTACAACACAAAAAATGATCATGAAAGAACCAAATGAATACAAAACAGGTATCGGTTGAAACTGAATTCAGCAGGCGGATGGATGATATTCTTAAACCAAATGTGACGCTTTAATGAACACTTTACACCGAACATAAATACAATGAGCGTGTATAATAGGCTGAACCAGCTTAATCAGTCTTGAGATTACAAACAGCTCAAACAGGTACATGTTTCTTTTACTAATAGGTACATATAAATACAATAATATTTTTCAACGAGGAAAAATTCATAGAAATAATACAAAAGTAAAACTTTCAAAGAGTCTCATTTGTTCCCATTCACTTTTAAATGTACTAAATCCTAGAAAAGTTGTATAGCTACGTATGTTTTGTATGTATGTATGGCTGGAGGGTGTTACGTTAAAATTATAGTATCAATGGTTGTCATTTATTTTGTTTTTGAGGGACCTTGGCCTGACTTTGAATTTTTTCGACCAAATGGGCACAGTGATTTGTTCAAGCATTCATTACACTTTGGTGCGGTTGGATTACAAATAGTTTGACCAAATCCGACCAACAAAATATTCACATCTTGCCACATATCTTTTGGCAACCAGGATTCCAATTGCTTCCGAGTGTCCTCTGGAGTAAGCTTTTTCTTCTCCTTTGCCGAAGTCCATCCCAAACGCTCAGAGATTCGGTGAACATGAGTATCGACTCCTACATACCAAAGGACTCAATTGTGTATCATATAATTGTGTAAAATAATTATCAAGTTATCTTACCTATTCCTTCATTAACTCCCCAAGCAACTTGCATACAAATATATGCCATCTTCGGTCCTATTCCGGGTAGTTCCATTAAACCTTGAGAAGTTTTCGGGATATCTCCACCATACTTGTCCAACAATATTTGTGAAACCTTTTTTATGTTGGCAGCTTTCTTGTTGTAGAACCCGACAGGATTAAGCATTGCTTTTAAATCAGATTCCGGAATTTCCAACATCTTTTCTGGTGTACAGCCATAGTCCTTGAGTCTTCCCATTGCCGCAAAGGTCACGCCATCCTAGAGGCATGACTTGTTATTAAATTTGAAGCTACATACAAATTTTTAACCCGAGCATATAAATCCTCGTGTCAATCTGTGACACACTATCGGATCACATTTGGCCGATTTTAAAAATTTCATGACCCCTAGGATGAAATGAGAAAATAAAGATGCTTCTAAAATGGTGGTCATTTAGAGGGAGGCCCTTTTAGAAAATAAGAAAAACACGAAGCAAATAACTGGCTCGGGCTATATCAAGTCTCCACTGCTGTAGGTCGCTATTTATATAATTGCATCATGCCTTTGTCTGACTGGACAGTAAGAGTGATATCAACGTCTGGAACCGCTTCACCTATGTATAACAAACCCTATTGAAATTAGTGAATTTATTTATATTGTATTTTACAAGAAATATTTCACGTACTTCTGGCGATGCTGTATCATCCGCTGTCCTTTCACAACCCATGGTGTCAACCGGTGCCGGATTATCTACTCGCATCTCCCGAATGTTTTCCACGACTTGACGCCAATTTGCCGGTTCAATCGTTTCGCTAGCCTCAACTTTGGGCGACTTTGGCTCTTTCTTGACGTCCGCATCGACCTCCTAATTATATAAATAAAACAATGGATAAAACTCACCTAGTGTCGACTTAAGTAATATCGTCGTATACACCTTACCTTATCTTCCTGTCGCTGTCGTACACGTTTTGCAGGTTTTTTATCTTCTTCCTCCTCCTCCTGTTCATACTCAATCTTAACAGGTTTCGCTGATTTAAGGGCAGAACGACGATTGCCTTTCGTTTTTTGCGACCCTGTTTCTTTTGATGTCGACATATTGCTGTTCCGATTTCCTATCAAAACGCTCCCGGCTCTGACAGGAAGTACTATTGGTGCAACAAACAAGTTGAAATAAGGTTGTGGTATAACTCGTGTGTATAAAATTTGGCAGCAAACAGGTAAAATGTTTTTAAAAAATCGGGTATTCAGACCCATTCAGTCAGACCGACTAACTATTCTGAATGTAAACACAAATCTGTCATGTACTCGCGGTGATGAAATTGAGATCCACGTGCACCATGAAATGCATCCTAACGAGACACACATTTATTCTTTCCCAACCTTTTTATTTCCCACGTTCATGAAGCCATTAAAATTGATTAAAGTCCACTTAAAATATTCTGTATAAATACAACCTTACATGAATTGGTAAGAATCAAGGGACTTTTCAGACAACAAAAGGTGAATATGTATGTGGCTCTTTCTACCTAGGGAAGAAAATCTATAGAAGAGAATTGAATACGTACTTATTACGTTGTCAGAAGAGAAACAATATAATCAGGGAGTTTTTAGCTTAGTTATTACTAAAATTCTCAAAATATTTGGGATTGGTATAATAGTTGACGTCTAAATCTTACGTGACCAACCGTACATATATTGACTTTCTCAAGATTCTCAATTTCCTGCTTTTTACTCTATAGGAGTGTAGTTGCATATAATAAAATGACAATTATCAATGTTAACCCTTGAACCGTGGTTTCATTATTTTATCAAACTTAGGACATCGATAAATCCTTAGCGACATGCGATTGGATCTTATCGAAGGACAGGCTTCTCTGCTAGTAATGAACATATAATATGTAATTTGTACATAAGTCTGCTCAAGCCTATTGGTTATTTTTTAATCAATATGGAAAATGTGCATGATTACTACGCAAATATGTATGTCTATCAGGATAGGAAAATATGGACTGTATTTGTGTTACATGCCTGATGAAATAGTTTTTTATATTTATTTGTGCTCGAAGAATATAAATGCATGGTGTTGAAGGCTTGTCAAAGTAATTTTAAGTAGTGTATTTCCTCCGGGCTTTGAAGCTGAAAATTACTTATATTAATTGGACCCTATCCAGAAAGGATAATAGGAGTAATGTTGGATTTCATATCAGAAAGTTTTTGAAAAGTTTGAAAGTCTTGCAAAGAAAAATTAAAAATCGTGACTACTATTTCTCTCATGAGCATTCAACTTGTATTCCCTTTTTCATGCAAATACATAGTACTTCGTTTTCTAGGAAAGTACGGTATCTAACTTTCCCCAAAAAATCAAAGATGTTATTCCTTTCTTATGCACACATATTATGTATATTCTGAATTTCCATAAATTGTTTATTTTGGCTATTATCCACAGAAAATAAGAAATTCCAGCAGAACGTTTATACATACATTTGTTTGTTGCATAACTAATAGTTAGTTAGAGAAGCAAACAAAAGAAGAAGTGCATAAAGGAGCACAAAACGCTTTCATATACATCCATCCATCCTTCGCTATAATGTAGTTTTTGCAAACTTTTCCATCAAAAGTTTTACTTATTTTCCAAAATGGGGCGCAGGTAAAAGTTAATGAAAAATAAATCTTTCCACGACCGAGTATGGTATACACATAACGAACATACATAATAGTACATAATGGTACAAAAAAGGTATGAAAACTTTGATAAGACCAATCAAATCCCCAAGAAGAAGAAATCTTTCGGAAGAAAAAGAAGACGAAAAAACGACTCCGGAAAGAAACATTTGGGGAAAGTTTTTGATTAAAAAAATTATTCAAGTTTTTCCAATCGCGAATCCTAAGCTGGGTAACCCCCAAATGAAGGTGAAAGTTTCCCATTAAGGCGTCTCCCTTTCTGCTCCAAGAAGAAGTATGGCATGGCAGAGTCTTAAAAGTCCTCGATGCTTAAGTAGACTTAATTCCGATAAAGTTACTTAATGGTGGGCAACCTCTTATTATTACTTTACCTCAGATTATTACGCCATGGATGCAGATGAAGAGCCATTTTACAGGTGGTACGTATGTTTCTACTAATCATCATTAATCGCCAGGTACCGACATGTAAATTTTGCTCATATGTATCTGCATTTCATGGTATATTTATATGTAATAAATATATTCTTGTTCGTGGTAAATATGTAGGAATCATAAATGTTACTTATGCACTTTCTTCATTAGTGGAGGGTCAACCCACAAATTAATAAATATAAATAAGCAGACTCAGATTTATTTACTTGGATGCATGTCTAGCTACGCCGACGGGAAGCAGACAACACGTAAAAGTGGTCTCCTCATGGTGGAGAAATTATTGTTTCCTGAGGATACTTTCCGCAATTCCTTTTGTTTGTCAACACGAAGGGTCTGGAGTTGAATTCAAATGCCCGAAACATGATTCCGTCTCTTAAAATACAGAAACAATGGCGGAACCGAGTTGGAGGGTGCGGACAGGAGAGACTTTACTCGTCCTGGAAACTTTGAATCCTTTGGGATCAGATAAATCTATCTGTCTCTCGAGTGAAAAGGACGCTGTGTGAATGTGTTGTTGCTTGGTTGGCGTAACTTTCTCGTCGAATCTCATACTTTCTTTCTCCGTGATTCTCAAGTTACTTGACTGACTGATGTGTTATGTAGTACTTGTAATGGGCATAAACTGATACCAGATAAGATATTGTTTTTGTAAGTTTCGTGGATTGGAGGTGGTGCGGTTTTGTTTGTTTATTTGTTGTTTCTTGTTTGCAGCTCAATTGGATGGACGAGCAGCAGCAGCAGCAGGTTCAGACAGAAAGCAGAGGAAGGACTCTCATCGCCGTCGTCGTCGTCGTCTTTCCTTCTATAAATACGCATATATCGTCACCCCCGTGCAGTACTGGATATTATTACTTTGTACACGGCATGGTCGTCGCGGACGGCATGCAAGAAGAAGAAGAAGTAAGTAAGCGAAACAACTTTCTCCCCTCAATCAAGGGAGAGAGAGTGAGAGAGGGATGGGGAAACAAGAAACAATTCTGCCCACACTCTGTCATTCTCTCCTCTGTTCTGCCTCGACAGTGTGAGGTTTGTGGCAACCAAGAAGTGACTTTGGTTTGCGTTGTGGAGCAAAATGAAAGTTAGTTTTTTTTATCTGATCCGTTCATTTTGTTTGTAACTCATTGGCAGGCCCCGGGGGTGCTGGGTGCGGAGAATAACTTCCTCTGTAGTAATTGGTTGGTTTGGTGGAGAGCAAAGTTACTTTCTCCTAGAGTTGACCATAAGTTGGGAAAGATACATAAGTACCCAACTTTGTTCGGAGGTAATTTTTATGCTGATACATAACTTGGTCCACAGAGGAAGGTTTTATGTGTGTTGTAATACTGCGACTACTATTCCATTCCTATCACCCTCTGACTGGGTGAGTAATAACATCTTCATATGCCCAAGTTCATTCCCCATAAAAAGATTAGTACTTTCTTAAGCTCTTTCAATTTTGTGTGCCCATTTCAAGATTTCCTCTCCTCCTGAAGAAGAAGTAGGAAGGACAATAATAAGCACGTCTCAGGTTACATCAAAAACTTTCTTCCGCATTTCCACTCTGACTTCCCTCTCTAGAGAGAAGTTCCTCCTATCAAACAAACTTACCTATTATGAAACTTTCCATCCAGAAATTAAACCAACTTTCCACTAAAGAACACAATGTTGTGGAAAATAGAACTTTACAATATGCCAGCCAACCAACTATAAACTTTACCAGTTGGTCCTTTATCGTCGTCGTCGTCGTCGTCGTGGTGGGCAAGTGAGCAGTAGCATTATTATTATATAAGTAGGAGGACCAGTTTAGTGATGGGATTTATACGTGTCTGTAATTGGGCTCCTTTTTACCAACAGCATCATGGATGGCGTCACTGCATATTCAATATGTCCGCTAAACGAGTACCAATAGGCGTGTACCTACCGAGTTGTAAACCTTCAAGAGTTGTGTATATTTAGTTATAGGAAAAGGTACATAGTTTGTTCCACGTGATTTTGATTTTCAATTGCACGTAATATTTCCATGCATGTGTGATACAACACGAGTTGATATTTCAATTGGAACTCTGACTGGCGTGGTTGAGTAAACATGTTTTCAACCTGTCCCAGCTAAATATTAATTCTATTTTGCCTTTATATAGACCGCCTTAATGTGACATTTAGAAATCAGTGAAGCGTAAAATGCTTACTTTCATCTGCCAACACAATATAAACGAAGCAAATTTGATATTAAGCGAAATAACTAAATTATGTAAGTAATAGACTCGTAGCTCTATAACTTAAGTGACGGTGGCCATATTAAAAACAGCTAGTTTTTTCCACTGCTTGCTTATCCACATGCAAAACACAATTTTTTTCATCTATTCATACGATTGCCTATCCACGGTTGGAAATGGGTTTGCTCAAATATTGTTTCAGTTGGAAAACTATTTTCTCTGTGAAGAAGCAAAGTTGTCGAGAGTATTCAAACGAATGTTCAAACTTTCAAACTCAATAATAAAGTAAGAAAAAGTTTAATAATATTTCCATCTCGGTTACTTTTTACTCCTCGGTTTGCTTTAACTTTGTAAAACATCACAACTACTTAATCTACGAGAGTTTTACAGCCAGCCACCCAGCCACCCGTTCCCTTCAAGAATTATGTATGTTCCACATTCAACCACTGCAAAGAATAGAATACATTACACAATACGATGCGAGTTTAAAATTGGGAAGAAATTACATGGCCCCCTAAAAAAGCAAGTGTTAAACGGACAGTAATTAAGATAGATATATACAATGAGATATTGTTTTTAGTGTAACAATGAGTAGCATACACTTTGAAAATAATGTCAATTATATATTACCATTAAGCTAAATTGGTAAACAAACTGATTGACAATTCGCCCTGCTGTCGCCATAAAACAGTACCTCCAACAAGAACTTGTTCCACACATTTGACAGCTTTTGACATTTAAACCTGTCACCACTCTACTCTACCCACGAACAAACAGCCATTTACCCTTGAGCGTTTGCGGTCATGCTCCTATGAAGAACCTCTTCATCACCTCATTTCACGCTGAAAGATCACAAGCCAAGTATCAAAATGTGGAAGATAAGCATTTATGCTGGGAGGAAAGTGGCGAGAGTTTTGGAGGACGGAACTGCGTGGAGAAAGTTGACTTGGCATCATCATCACTATTTACTCGTATGCACCCCAATGTTGGCATCACACCAT